CCTTGGAAACCCTATGGGGCAGTTCTACTCTGTCCTGTAGTGTCGCTATGAGTCGGAATCAACTAGATGGCAGTAGGTTTGGTTTTTTTTTTTTTTGGTAAGCAGTTACTAAATATGACTTTTCTGTTTGATGCAATGAATTTCAACGTGTTTGTTTTTATTTTTGAATGTTATTTTCAAAACTTTTTTTTTTCCAAAAAAGAAGATTCCTTGTAAACTCAGTTAAATGGATTTAATGTGTTCTAAGGAAATCCAGTGCTGTACTGTGTCTCATTGGTATTTATTGGATATAACTTTTAACTGCATAGGATATCAATAAAAAGTGATCTGTGGCTATTACTTTCCACTCCTATGATTTGTTGTGCCAGAGGGATAGATTTCTGATGTTCATATTTAAAGATACTGCTCCTTCTGCTAGTGGTGATAAATGTACCTGAAAAGACTCTGGTTCATACATGTGAAAATTTTCTTTCTAGTAATGTTTCTGAATAGCAGTTCTAAATCTTTAATGACTGAAGAAAATGATAGCTCAGGACTTCGCAATTTATCACCTTTGTTAATTTATAGTAATCTTATATATTCCCAATTGCTTCCTCTGCCATATAACCTTTGTTTGCCTTTCAGTCAGAAATGTTCTTACATAATTTATCCTCATTATATGATGTTCGCTATGCTATGCTTGATTTCAGGTAGTAATCTGATGGGGATGTTTTAGGCACAAATAGAAAAGGTCTTGAATAATCTGAAGCTTTTTTTTTTTTTTTTGGTAGAAAATTACGAAAAACTGTAAATGGTGATGGGAACCGAGAAAATGGAAATAACTCCTCTTCTGATAAAGTCAGAGGAGTAGAAACTTTGGAATCTATACCCCGTATTAGTGGTTTTTGGGGGACTCTCTTTGGCAACAGGTGGGAAGTCTTACATTGGAATTTTTACTTGATTTTGTATTCACATTAGTGTTCACATAGTATACAATATGATCAGGTCATATGAATGAGCAAGGTAGGCATATTATCATTATGGTGTGATTGTTAAGGATTCTAGAAAGATTTGCTTACTCAAAGTATCATCTCCACTGTGTCATGTTATCTGTAATTCTAGTATACTGCCATAAAAGATTCATTCTATTTGATATTTAATGACCTTTTAGACTACAAGATTACAAAAATATAAATACTCTGAAAGGGAAAATATCTTAAGCCGTATTGGCCAACATCTTGAGAGAAAGAAGGATTTATGATGATCAGGTATTTTTTAGTGTGTGAGGTGATATTTCTTTAGAAATGGTGTGCAGGGCAGGATCCTCTTCTTGATGGGCTACACCACAGAAAGGGAAATGGGTGAAAGATAAATTTTACCTAGATCATGATTTTGCAGGTCATGACAGCAAATGGGACTGATTATTCTGGGGGTAGTCAGGAGCATCCATGAAAGAGTTGAGGGTTGCTGGATTTTGAAGATGGGTAGCATTTACATAGATGGCAAAGAGAGGGAAAGGCATTCTGTGAAGTGGCATAGCAGGCAGTAAGAGGTAGGAGTTGGCATGGTGTTTGAGAGGTGAAGTGGAGAAGACTATCAACCTTTTTCCTGAAAATAGATGCACAGTCTTCTCTACTGAAAAGTAAAGGCTTCCTCTCAATTAACTGGGACGAGTCTTTGGAGAGTAGAGTTAGCTATATTTTATCTTTCTATTCCCTTAGCAAGCTAGAGACCGACAAATATGATTTCTAAATTTCTGATTCTCCACTTCCAGAATAATATATTGTACTCCTCAGAAGAAAGTGATTTCATGAAAGATGTTAGTTTTGGAAAACTAGTTAGTGATGTATTTTTTTCCTTTTTAAAAATAGGACAAAGAGAGTAAAATTAATATCTAACAAAGGGACTGAAACTGAGAATGACACAAGTTGTCTGCATCCGATCATTAAGAAGAGACAGTGTCGACCAGAGATGAGAATGTGGCAAACAAGAGAGAGTGCAAAATTTTCTGATGGAGATAAGTCACGTAGGGTAAGAGTTAGATGAGTATAAATGTAATATTAAAATCTTTTCTTTCCTATCTAAAAATCTTCCTATTCTTAGACTCTGCTACAGATACAAAATAGGTACTAATAGGTTTGTATAATTTGACTTAAATAAGTGGAATGTAAAACACATAAGGCATGAAAAGGAAAATATCAGGTGAAGACTGTAGTTTATTCTTACAATTTCTAGGACTTGTTGTTGTCATGTGCCATCAGTTGATTCCAACTCACAGTGACCCTATAGGACAGAGTAGAACTGCCCCATAGGGTTTCCTAGGTTGTAATCTTTATGGGAGCAGATTGCCAGGACTTTTCTCTCATGAAGCCACCAGGTGGGTTTGAATCACCGACCTTTTGGTTAGCAGCCAAGTGCTTAACCACTGTACAACCAGGGCTCCTTTCTAGGGCTAGAACTTGTTACTGAATCTGCTGCTGATCCAGCCTTAACAGTAGGCTGGTAGATTTAATGAACAGATTAGTGTAGAGGCTGCTGTGTCATATTCCAGAGAGATAATGGTAATATAGAGTTCCTGATGGTGCTAATGGCTTGGCTGATGGTTAACTGCTCCGCTGCTAACTGAAAGGTTGGAGGTTTGAGTCCACTGAGAGGTGCCTCAGAAGAAAGGCGTGGCAATCTACTTCTGAAAAATCAGTCATTGAAAACCTTATGGAGCACAGTTCTACTCTGGCTTACACGGAGTTGCCGTAAGTCAGAATTAACTCCATGCAACTTTTTTTTTTTTAAATGATAGTATAATAAGGGTTTGGGAAACTGTTTTCTAGGTAGACTTGGTCTGCTCTGTGTCTAAAATTAACTGCAGTTTTACTTTATAGGCCTGAAATGTTTTCTTATTTTTTAGACTGTGGCACTTAAAATTGACTAATATTTTTAAGTCATTACTATAATCAGGCACTGCTGCTCCAAGTACTTTACATATACTAACTCATTTTTTCAGTCAGTCTGTGAGATAGATGTTTTTATTATTATTACTTTTCAGATGAGGAAGCTGAGCCCCAGAGAGGTTTAGTAACTTGTCCAAGGTGATATTGCTAGTAAGTAGAAGAGCTATCATTTACACTTAAAGAGTTTGATGCAAGCCTATGGTTTTGATCACCGCATAATACTGCCACATCATTTAGGCTGTTTAGTTTCCAGTTCAATATTTTTCTTTGCTGCTATCAATTAACATATAGATTTGTTCAGTTTTAGTTTAGTTTACCTCTACTGCTTTTTAGTTTTCGCATGCTTTGTTTTTACATATGCAGCATAGTAGAATATTCTGGGCTGTCCCCTGTGAAGGTATTGCTGTTCTCTTTGTAGGAGACTTTTAGGCATTTGGGTAATGGGATTTCAGATGATCTGTCAAGTGAGGAAGATGGTGAAGCACAGACACAGATGATATTATTGCGTAGGAGTGTGGAAGGGGCCTCAAGCGACAATGGCTGTGAAGTTAAGAATAGAAAATCAATATTTCCAAGGCACCTAAATTCTCAGGTAATTTTTGTTTTAATTTATAAAAGTACTGGAGTTAATTCCTAAATCATTGAATAGTAACAAGGTATTTAACATGTTTTCCTATTGTTTGTTGGTTTGATTTTTGGCAGGTAAAGAAAACCCCTTCAAGGTGGTGTCATCTGGTGCGGGATTCAGATAGTGTGGCCGAGTCGGAATTTGAATCAGCAGCTTTCAGCCAGGTAAAGTATCCTTTTGAGAGATCAGTGTTCAAGGAGTATTTTTCAGTATAATAACTTTATCTATTCCTTTTTTTATTGGTAGCACCAAAGTAGTGGTTACCTCCCCTTTTAAACTCACTGCCAGTCTGTCTAGCAGCTTTTAAACCTCTGCTCACCCCAGAAAGAGAGTGAACTCCTTAAGGTTACACTTTAATCTTACAAGTATCATAGATGGTGCTCAGAAGGAGATTATTCAGTCCCTAAATGATGAGAAAGTTATTTAATAGTCACTTGGGATGTGGCATTTATTCTTAAACATAATTCCTATGTAAGTGAGATTAACATGATGAGGACAGATTTTCGAGAAGATTGGAGCAGTAAATCTCATCATGAAAACCAGTGGGCATATTGTAACATTTGGAATTTTGTAATTGAGAAGTGAGCAGAATAGATGATGGTGGTGTGGTTTTGTTTTGTTTTGATTGACAAGACAGTTAGGGTCAGGGAAAAACTTTCAAATTTGTGTTTGTACCGCAGGATAGGTGGGTTGTCTATCCTTTTCCTCTGCCTGGTTATCCTTTTTCATGCTGGTGCTAGACCCTTGAACATGACTAAGTCTGCAGTCAAGCTCACAATATTTAGAGTGGGGTATGCCGGTAGGCTCAGCAAAGCCAATTAGGGAGGTTCTCTGGGTGTGCTTGTAGGAGTCACCTCTCATTCCAGGACAACTTCGTTAGTAAGCCCCGATGACTTCTTGGAAGGAGTTCTTTTAAAGCCCTGCTTGCTAGAAAGTCATCAGAGTTTAACATTTAAATGTCAAAATGTATTATTGGTATGTGAAGTCTTGTGAACAAATGAATATATAGTGGTTGACTTATGAAAGCTTGCCAGCCATTGCCATAGATAACTTGTTTTAATTTTATTGCAGCTGTTTAATTGTTTTTAAGAATGAATGAAAATGTGTATTTTTTCCTTTAAAGGGCTCCAGATCTGGCACAAATGGTGGCTCTCGAAACCTTACCATGTCAAGAAGAGACTCAGAGAGCACTCGCCATGATTCTGAGACCGAGGATATGTTATGGGATGACCTGCTGCATGGCCCAGAGTGCCGATCGTCTGTCACCAGCGACAGTGAGGGGGCCCATGTGAACACCCTTCACTCAGGGACCAAACGCGACTTCAAAGAGGATGTTTTTCAGCAGGTGTGTGAAGGCGATGATGATAGCAGCTTAGATTTATTGTGAGGTCTATGAAGGCGGTGATAATAGTAGCTAAGATTTATTCTGTTTTGTTGCGTGCCAGGCACTGTATTATCTCATCTAACTTTGCAGTAATCCTATAAGGCAAGTACTATTATTATCCCCAGTTTAGAGATGAGGAAATTGAACACACCCTGCAAGTGAAGATAGTGGGATTAGAACTCAGGGGGAAGGACTCTAGTGTTGCCTTCGCTTAAATTTTTCTTAATAATATTTTTCTCATTATTTTCCTTAGAGTGGTCTTTGATGTTCATTTTATATGATCAGAGTTGTTTGGATGGTATATATTTTAATAAACATCACAGTATTGTATATGATTTAGTAGGGATTAGCTTGCTTCTACAATAATGTATAAATCAAATGATGCTTTTAATTTCAGGTTTTATATTAATATAAAATCAAATAACCTAGAATTGTAGTTGCCTTAGAAGGTATTTCTACCTTCCAACCACTGTAGGAATTCTTTCCCCGTCTGTAATGTAGTCATAATAGTTCATACTTGGAAATGTTGTGAAATATCGAATGAGATAATATGAAGTGCTTAGCACAGTGCCTGGCAAAGAGTAAACACTCAGTAAATATTTTGATGTGTAGGATTGTTACTTTCCTTTGTGGCTACCCTAATATTTACTCCTGTTTTTCTAAATTTAAACCAATCTTTTATTTCTTTATATCGCCTTGACATCCTTCCCATGTGAAAGATCTATAACTACATTTTTTAGCTCCTCTTTCTTGTTTTAACGTTATTGTCTTTTACATATTGACGTCCCTGTTTCCCTATTTTCAGTGTTTTAGCTTTGATTTATTTTTGTGACTTCCCTGTCTGGGTTTTAGCTATTTTCAGTGTTTTAGCTTTGATTTATTTTTGTGACTTCCCTATCTGGGTTGATATCTGGTTGCTCTGTTCTGTGTTCTAGTCTTGGGTTGTTATCTCATGTTACTGATTTTCTATCTGGAGGACTCCCTTTAGTATTTCTTGTAATTTTGGTTTGATCTTTGCAAATTCCCAAAACTTCTGTTTATCTGAAAATGCCCTAATTTCATCATCATATTTAAGAGACAGTTTTGCTGGATATGTAATTCTTAGCTGGCAGTTTTTTCCTTCAAGGCTTTATATATGTTATCCCATTGCCTTCTTGCCTATGTGGTTTCTGCTGAGTAGGCCGAGCTTAGTCTTATTGACTCTCCTTTGTAGGTGACTATTTGTTTATCCCTAGCCGCTCTTAAAATTCTCTCTTTATCTTTGGTTTTGGCAAGTTTGATTATAATATGTCTTGGTAATTTTCTTTTGGGATCTACCTTGTGTAGGGTTCGATGAGCATCTTGGATAGATATCTTCTCATCTTTCATGATATCATGGAAGTTTTCTGCCAAAAAATCTTCAACAATTCTCTCTGTATTTTCTGTTACTCTCCCTTCCCCCTTTCTGGTACTGCAGTCATTCATAGGTTATTCTTCTTGATAGAGTCCCACATAATTCTTAGAGTTTCTTCATTTTTTTAAATTCTTTTATCTGATTTTTCCTCAAATAAGTTGGTGTCAAGTGCTTTATCTTCATTGTTACTAATTCTGACTTCCATTGCCTCAATTCTGCTCCTGTGACTTTCTACTGAGTTGTCTGATTCTGAAATTTTATTGTTAATCTTCTGGATTTCTGTTTGCTGTCTCTTTGTGGATTCTTTCAGCCTGTTAAATTTGTCATTGTGCTCATCTGTAATCTTCTTAAGTTCCTCTATTGCTTTGTCTGTGTGTTTCTTGGCTTGTTCTGTGTTTTGCATCATCTCCTTCCTGATCTCTTAAAGAGTTCTGTATATTAATCTTTTGTATTTTACCTCCAGTAATTCAAAGAAGTTCTTTTCCTTCAGAAGATTTCTTGATTCTTTGTTTTGGGAGCTTGCTGAAGCCATCATAGTCTGCCTCTCTATGTTATTTGATATTGACTGTTATCTCCAAGCCATCTATTATTATATTTATTTATTTTATGTTTGCTTACTGTGACCTAGCTTCTTGTTTTGTTTTGATATGCCCAAATAGGCTGCTTGTGTGAGCTAGTTTGATTATTGGCACCTTTGAAGCTCTAACATCCTGTCACCAGGTGGTTAGATCTTTTTACTAGGTATGTGAGCCCAGGAGTCCGTTTACTTTTCTTGTATGGATTCAGCTCAGGTGTCCAGGTAGTTGGTCACTAAGTATGTGGTGCAGGCTCTCACCTACAGTCCTAGATGGGCAAGGGTGATTAGAGTAGGCACAGGTGTCTGGCTGCAGTAGGGGGTCACATGCTGAGCAAGGCAGGGGGCTGATGGTTGCCCCTGAGTGTCTGGGAGGAAAGTGTGTCCCCATTCCCTAGAGTATGTAGGTAGGTGGGTTTTGCAGCTGGACTATGGGCACCCTGTGCTGTTGTCTGTAAGGACTGGGAGGTACCACTTATTCTTGGACCCCTGTTGCAGGTGGCTAAGTGGTGTGGGTGGAGCCACCAGTCCTCAGACCCCTGATGTGGGTAGGTGAGTACCCTGCTTAATGGCCAGAGCTGTGTCAAATGTCACAAACCTGCCACTCCACTATATAGCTGGTACAGTTGAAGTTAGGCTTTAGGTATATACCCTGTTATAGTGTGCTAATAAGGGTCTGTGCTGTTGAAATGGGCCCACACAAGTCTATGCAGGGATGAAGGGCATTCAGAGTCCGTGGACCCCTTATGCCTGTGCCTAGGGAGCTGTGCCTGCCCTGAGTTCCCAGCTTAGGGGAGCTGGAAGATTATTTTTTCCTGTTTGTTAATTTGTTCCCTTTCCAAGGCCAGGAGAATGGCTCAGGGTGTGTGACAGGTTCTGCTTCCAGCCCAGAGGACACGGCAGTCGCTGAAGCTGGCCTGGGACCTGGTGTAGAGTGGGTGGGGAGCAGGTAAATAGGAGAGAGGTTCTTCCCAAACAGGGTGTTTTTTGATCTGTGTGGTAGGTTAGACGCATGTACTTATATTTTGCCGTTTGAGCGCCGCTTTTCACTGGTTCTGAAGGCTCGAGTAGACTCTCCACTGCTCAGTCTCTCTTGATGTGGAAAATGCATCCTGAACACCACTGCCCGCTTCACTGCACATGCTAGCTGATCCAGCCCACAGGGTACTGGTTCCTGCTGGGTCAGGTCTGGCAACTCCTTACTGCTTCTGAACCGTCTCTCCCTCTTCCTGCCACTCAGTCCGATTCCTCAACTTCACCTTTGATATTCAGGGCTCCTAGATTGTCATACATAATTGATTCACGTGTTTTTTTCAGGTCTTTGTTGTAAGAGGGACCACTGGAAGCATCTGACTACTCTGCCATCTTGGTCCGGCCTCCCAACACTCAATAAATAAATGTTAGCATTATCATTAGTATCCCCATCTGATGATCAGTCAGCCTCTGTTTAAATACTTCTGGAGATGGAGTGCTTGTTATTTCATGAGACAGCTTGCTCCATCCCTAGATACATCGAGTGATTAAGGAATGGTTCTCATTATTTAGCTGGATCTGTCTCTCTGTTATTTCCACCTGTCAGCTCTACTTCTGTTTTTCTAGGGCAACAAAGAATAAGTCTGCCTGCTCCTCCACACAGCAGACTTTGAGACGTTGGATGACAGTGATTAGGATTCTCCTTTGTTTTTGTTCTTACAGGCTAAATATTTCCACAGTGCCTTGCAAACAGTAGATGATGGCTATACATATGTCATTAAATGTATAAAACCAAACACCAAGCCCACTGCCGTTGAGTCAATTCTGACTCATAGGATTTCCGAGGCCCCATAGGGTTTCTGAGGTCCCGTAGGGTTTCTGAGGCTATAAATCTTTACAATAGCAGATTGCCACATCTTTCTCCCACCAATAAACGTATACAGCTTTTTAAAACTGACAAGAAATAGCATATATTTTTCTCATTAAAGCTTTATGCTACTTTCACCAACTTTGCAATCAAAGTTTGAATCTAAATGTTCTTTACTTTCAGTCTGAAGTTTCTTTTTACATTAACTCTCAGTAGTTATAGGAGCCCTGGTGGCGCAGTGGTTAAGAGCTTGATTGCTAACCAAATAGTCAGCAGTTCGAATCCACCAGCTGCTTCTTGGAAATCCTATGGGGCATTTCTACTCTGTCCTAAAGGGTCACTATGAGTCAGAATCAACTCTATGGCAATGGTTTTTTTGTGCTTAGTAATTATACATAACATCATGATGATCTTGGCCTCTTGAGCACTTTTGGGATTTACATTAAGGCATATATAAGAATAATTGCATAAAATGAACTCCCCATGTCAAACGGAATTCATCATTTCCTAATCTCCTCTGCCCAACCTGCTCACTTCTTTTATTCCCAGTATTTTTTAATACCACCCACCACTAACCACCCAAGGCAGAAACCTTGGAGTCCTTCTTGACTCCACTGTCTCCACTGTGTTTCTAATTAATCATCATGTTCTCTTGATTCTACTCTCTAAATATCTGAATCCGTCCACTTGTTTCCACCTTGCTTGGTGCAGCCATCATCATCTCTCATCTGGATTGTTAAAACAGCATCTCTAGGCTTGTCCTACTTCATTTCGTTTTCTACACTGCCGCCAGAGTGATACTTCTAAAATACAAATCTGATAATACCATTCCCCTTAAAATTCTTTAATTACTTTTTTTCTCTTCTGGATTATTTACTTCTGATCCTTTATCTGCTCTAATAGAATCACACCTCTGACCATTCCCTCCCTGCTTCTTACATGGTGTACTTTAACTTGACTAAACTTCCTCTAGTTTCTTAAATGTACCAACCCCCATCTACTTTTTTTTTTTTTTTAATTGTGTGTTAGGTGAAAGTTTACAGAGCAAATTATATTCCCATTCGACAGTTTGTACATAAAGTGTTTCATGGGCTTAGTTTCATTCTCCACAATGTGTTAACACTCTCTCCATTTATGCCCTGGGTTCCCCATTTCCTTTCATCCTGATTTTCTACCCCTTCCTGCCTTCTCTTCTTTGCTTTCGGGAAAATATTGTCCTTTTGATCTCATTTAATTGATTGTTCAAGGAGCACGTTTCTTTCAGGTGTTATTGTTTATTTTATGGGCTTATCTATTGTTTAGCTGGAAGGTGATCTCCAGAATGGCTTCAGTTTCAGGTCAGAAGGGTATCTTAGGGGCATAGTCTTGAGGGTTCTTCCAGTCTATATCAGACCAGTTAGTCTGGTCTTTTTTGTGAATTTGACTTTTTTGTTCTACAGTATTGTCCTGCTCTGTCTGTTGTGATCCCAGTCAGAGCAGTAGGTAGTGGTAGCCAGGCACCATAATTCTTCTGGTCTAGGTTCGTGTAGGTTGTGGTTCATGTGATTCATTAGCCCTTTGGACTAATTGCTCCCTTGAGTCTTTGGTTTTCTTTACTCTACTTTGCTCCGGGTGGGAAGAGATCAATAGTTGTATCTTAGATGGCTGCTTGCAAGCTTTTAAGACCTCAGATGCTATTCACCAAAGTAGGATGCAGAACATTGTCTTTATGAATTATGTTGTGCTAGTTGATGTAGGTGTCCCCCAAGTCTATTCACCCTCAAGCCTAGGAGCTTCATCCCACGAGGTGTTTGGTTATGTTTAGGAGGTTTCCTTGACTGTGCCCCTTGTGTGCTTTATTGTCTATATTAATATATGAGGAGCACCTGCAGTCATGTATTTAGAAATATCCACCACCAAACCATATCTGCCAGTAGGTGTGCTCCCTTACACCCTCCCACACCTCTTGGCACATCTATCTATGTATCCATTCATAAATTACTGTTTGTTAATACTATTGTTGCAGGATTGTCTAAGCTATAGTAGTTACCGTAGTTGCCCTTTATTCTTGCATTCCTGTCAGTGTCCTCTCTTGCCTTGGTCATGTTGTGCTGACTTCTCGCATATTGTGTATTATCTTTCCCTTCACCAATGTTAACACGTGTCTTATATCTATTTGGTAATTTTCCCTCCCTCCTCTTTTCATCCCTGGTAACCATCAGAGAATGTTTTTTTTCTTTTCTGTATATAACCTTTACTGTTACTTTATAATAACAGTCTCATACACCAGTTGTCCTTTCGTGATCGACATATTTCACTCAGCATAATGTCTTTCAAATTCATCCATGCCCTGTCTACTTCTGGCCTTTAACATACTGGTTTTTTTGCCTAGGACACACTTCCTTCTAATACTCATTCCTATAGCTCACTCCTTTTTATTCTTCTGGTCTTGGTTTGAATGATACTTCCTTTAGGAAGCCTTTCCTATATGCTCCAAAAGCACTCTTTCCTTCCTTTACCATGCTGTGTAGTAACTATTTAATTATGTCTCCTTCAGAAATCTGTAAACTCCTTGATTGCAAGGATCACATCTGTCTTGTTCTCCATTATATCCACAGTGCATCTTTCGTAGTAGGTGCTTAATAAATAATTGTTGGATAAATCAGTGAATCAATGAATAAATGCTGAGCATTGTGGTGGAAAGAGAAGAAATACATCATATGGTCCTTTTCTAGAAACTTATATTTTGGTTTGGAGACAAGATGATTATATGGGAAGTAAAGGACACTATAGAAGCTACATATAGTTAGATGCCAGTTAGCTTGATATAGACTATCAGGCCTTCTAGTTTCAGAGAAGAACAAAATTAGTGAGGCTTGTGATGGTCAAAGAAGACCATGTTGGAGAAATGGAACTGGAACTGGTACTTGAAGAATTAGGCATGATATGGCAGTGGGAGGTGGGGATTTGTTTTATTGTGACTTTTTCCTCTTGAGGTTTCTATGCTTTTCTGTGACCTGCTTACCAGAGAAAGGCTTAACTACTCAGTAATTCACAATGTGATATGTGAGGCCTTCTAGCACCTCTCCTAACTTCTTCCTACTACTCCCAGGGTAGTCTCGTTGCTCTAGAGATACTTTCTTCCTCAATATCCCAAGAATACAGCAAGCTTATCCTCACTTCTGTACCTTTAGCAACCTTGAACATCATGGATCCTGTCTCTCCTCATTGCAGAAGACCTTTAGCCTGTGTCCAGTTAAGAGAAAAGGTTTAGTTAAGAAAAAAGGGTCAGAAATCAGCATCATAGAGGTGGTAATTGGAGTGATGAGCTCTGTGAGGGAGAGAATAGAATAATAATAGAGTGATTGACTGAACATTGGCAAATGTAGCCTGGGAGCTGGACAAAGGGGGAAAAAACTAATGCAGGAAAGAAAGGAGTGGATGCAAACAGTTATATATTTTTTCTTCTCAGAACCATTTATTCTGGCTTCAGAACTCAAGTCCTGCCTCTGACCGAGTTAGTGCAATAATCTGGGAAGGGAATGAGTGCAAAAAGATGGATATGTCTGTATTGGAAATAAGTGGCATCATTATGAGCAGGGTAAGGTTTAATAAGACTCCAGACTTTTCAAATAATCTAGTTAGTGATAAGCAGCTATTTCATAGAGTCGACTTAGTGATCAAAACAAAATGACTCTGCTTTTGAAACACACATATATATATTTAAATTTTGTAGTCAGAGTCTGTACTTGGTAGTATGCTTTTTTTATTCTTCATACATTGTATGATCTCTGTTAGCATGAACAATTGCTCAGTTATATTCCACAAACATTCCTTATCTCATATAAAGTCTAATTTTTAATATGGTCTAAAAGTCATAGATCTGTATGTCATTTTAAAATTTTACTTCTATTTGTCTATTTTTAATAATCTAAATAGTATTTGATAAATACTGCCTTATAACTCCATTTGCCTATGCAGTAGTAACGGAAATTTTAAATTAATCCCCAGGTTAACGCCTATCAGCAAGGAGTAGGTTATCAGATGCTGGGAAATGTCGTCACTATTGGATTAGCATTTTTTCCTTTTGTACATCGACTTTTCCGTGAAAAGAGCCTTGATCAACTAAAGTCCATTTCTACTGAGGAGATCTTGACTCTCTTTTGTGGGGCACCACCAGTTATACCTATTATTGTTTTGTCTGTAATTAATTTTTTTGAACGATTGTGTCTTACTTGGATGTTTTTTTTCATGATGTGTGTGGCCGAGAGAACGTATAAACAGGTTAGTAGGAAGATAAGTAAAATTTCTTATGTCTGCTTTTGTATATGATATTCCACTGCAGTATTTTTGTTTTCTTCATTTGTTTTTTTCTCCAAAAGTTAATAAGGACAATGAAGGATTGATAGTGGACTTCTTGTATTTATCAACTTAACATTTGTAATATTGCCTCTCATTGCAAATGGCACATTGTAATCTGGAATTTTGCTGAGCCTGATGTGTAGGAGTAAGTGGCTTAGCCAGTGAGTGAGCCTGGCAGACTGCTGAGCATCTGCACCTCAGTGTGCCTTTGCTGTTTTTTTCATTCGTACTGTATGTGGTAATTCTTAATGTGATAATGTTTCTGTGAAAATTGGCCAAGTGAGAAATAAATTTATGGAAATTTGGTAAGAGTTATGGATTGAGGACTTAATATTGAGGATATACACAAGAAATGTGATTTTGAATGGAGACATCACTGGGGAGTAAGCCAGAAGCCTGTGTAAACATTTGAATTTGTGAAGTTGGGGAGTCACAAAGGTCTCCAAAGACTATGTGTTGGCAAATATCAAGAGCATACCATATTGTGAAGAAGTATATAATGTTCTTTAGAAGCAACAGTATAAGGAGCCATTAAATAAATTTTTTCACTGCCTGTCTTAGTGATCCACTGATTAGAATTTCATCCTTTTTAACATGCGGGGAATATTGTTTACAATTATGTAAGTAAACCCACAGAGACATATAACATACATTTTACTTTGTGATTTTACTTTTAATCTCCCGTAGAGATTTTTATTTGCAAAACTCTTCAGCCATATTACATCTGCCAGGAAAGCAAGGAAATATGAAATACCTCATTTCAGACTTAAAAAGGTGGAGAATATTAAGATATGGTTATCACTTCGTTCGTATTTAAAGGTGAGTTTTATTTGATTAACAGTAGAACATATGCAAGAATATGTAGAGAATGCACCATTACAGTTTCTGGAAGCAGTTTCTCAGGCAGCGTAGTCCCATGTGTTGTACAGATTATATCAGTGGCTGACAGACTTTCTGCACATCAAGTTAGAAGTGATATGCCTGCAAAGCTGATCACAAAACAAACCCGTTGCCGCTGAGTCGATTCTGACTCACGGCAGCCCTATAGGACAGGGTACAACTGCCCCATAGGAGCAGCTGGTGGATTCGAACTGCCGACCTTTTTGGTAGCAGCTGCGCTCTTAACCACTGTGCCACCAGGGCTCCACAAAGGTGATAGGGGTAATAGAGCGTAGAAAGGGAAAACAAAATTTAAATTTCCTTGGACAGAATGATAAATTAAATATTGCATTTTTTTTCTGACTTTTGGGGAAATATTCCAGCTGAAAATATGCTGTTGAACCAATCACCCCTTAATTTGGAAAGGCATGGATTTCAGTGCTTAATTGAAGTGGAAAATGTCCAAAATATTTTAAAAACCTGTAAGAAACTTCTTATATCTATAAACTTTTATTTTCACATTAATGCAATAAAATTCAGAATGTTAACGATATGAGGGACATTGCCACACGGACAGTGATCCAGAACACTAACACATGCATCTCACTCCACAGAGGCGGGGTCCGCAGCGTTCAGTTGATGTGGTTGTGTCTTCCGTCTTCTTACTGACACTTTCCATTGCTTTCATTTGTTGTGCACAGGTAAAAGTTTTATCTGTTTCAATGAAAAATGGAGATTCTATTATAGGGTTCACCTTCAGTTTTAGACCAGGTCACTATGTGTTTTTTAAGTATATATATATATTTTTTAATTTAATGTGTCTACATTTCTTTTGCTATTTAGGATACTTGTTAATTTCTCTAACTTTTGGAAACTGTAATAAAGGTAATTTTGAAATCCGTTAAGACGCTAAGATCACTCTAATTTTAGTTGGTGATTTTTGACTGATAATATAGCTGTTAGACATTATTACTTGCATTGAGGATTTATGAGCATACTGTTTTCATATCACTTGTGAGACAAGCTGAAAGAAGCTCGAGGTTATTTAGTTATAATTTGAGTTCTGTATGTTTTAGGGGTTTACTTTGACTGTTGATAGTTTTACCTGTTGTACCTTTCTCTGAAAATAGGTTTGATTGTTACTTGTGTGTTTATTTTCCAGAAATGCTTTTTAGTGTAGCTGAACAATAGTATAAAGTTGTTCTGTTCACTCTAGTAGGCACTAGTCACATGTAGCTATTGAGCACTAGTCCAAATTGAGATGTGCTATAAGTGTAAAATATCAAATTTCAAAAATAACACGAGAAAGTAAAATAGCTCATTGATCATTTCTATATTTATTATAAATATTTTGAATATATTAGGTCAAATAAAATAGATTAAAATTAATTTCACCCGTTTCTTTTTACTTTTTTAATATGGCTTCTAGAAAATTTAAAAGTATGTGTGTGACTCACATTATATTTCTATTGAATAGCACTGGTATAGAGGCACAGGTTCTGTCTCCATCAGTGACCAAGGAAACCTCCAGTTTTACAGTTACCTTATCCCCCGGAAAGTTCCAGATTTTGCCTATGTAGTAGGGAGGGGGTGGGCAGAGAGTAAAAAGAAATATTTTTCCTACTGTTCCTGGCTTGAGCATTACTAATCTTTATGGAGGAAGACCTGGCTTAGAATCTGTAGCGCTTTCTTAGCAAGGGTCTACAATGATGAGCTTGAATCTCTGTCTCTCTCTTTCTACCCTCTCTCACTTTCCATTTTTTAAAAAATTTTGAAGCTCTAGACTGCTAGGTCAGACTATACCTGGCATCTTGGACTCTAGCTTTCTACCTTTTCACTTTATCCATTTTTCTTAGGAGGAAGCATAGCTCTCTTAGCTGAGATAAGAGCCACTCCCCCGGGAAAGGCATCGTTGGACTGTTGATCTTTGTGATTGCTGGACTCTCCAGTGAGTCATAAATCATTACGCTTTCTTGACCAGGTTCTTTGACACCACTGCCCACTCCTCTTACATCCAGAGTCTGAGAGAGAAGCTACTCTTAGTTTTTATTTTTTCCCTTCTCACCGTTCAGTAATGCCTTGTTTTCTTTTCATATCGTCTTCACAGTGTTACTGCTGTGCCAGCTCACCTGCGTTGCACTGCACAGAGGGTGTGTCAGGTTTTCTTCCTTGAAGCCTTCTTTGGTTCTTTACTCATCATCTTCCTCTCAGGTCTGAGTTTTCTGAAAAGAAGAGTCATTCCCTTTTGTTGAATTGGACAGATCTCTACTTCAGGTGGTAAATGGTGGTGAAGTCTTTGTTTTTTAATAATTCCTATCCTCTTTTAGATGAAATTTTGCTTAGAAGAGGAGGAAAGAGCTTAGATTCCTTGGGTCCTTTTTGTAAGTTTCATTTATAGGCACAAGCCCCCTCCCCCCCACCCCTTTTTTTAAGTTTTTATTTCCTCTTGCAGTTTTCATTTACCAGATATTTATTCAGTGCTCAAAAAATATTTGTTGAAGGTTGAGTATAGTGGTGAATAGGACAGACGTGGTTTTCTACTCTCACGGAGCTTATAGTGTAGCAGGAAAAATAGATATTGATCTAGCAATCACTACATTGTTTGACGGATATGATGATTGAGGCAGTTCAGGGTACTATGGGAGCACATAGCAGGGGGACCTCAACAAATTGTAGGGTAAGGTAACTTTCCTCATGAAATGATATTTAAATGGAGACCAGAGTGATGAATTGGAGACAGTGAAATGCAGGGGGTCAGGGGTAGACTATGGGAAGAAGAGCTGCAGACAGAGGGTACCACATGTGCAGTGTCTTTATTTTTTTTTGAAAGTGGTAAGTTTGAAGAATTAAATGTTAGTATGGCTGAAATATAGAATGCTCTATAGGGTAGAAACCAAATTATCAGTACATATAGAAGTGTCTGGGACATAGTATGTACTCATGGTAAAGGTAATTCCTAGAGATAATATTTGAATAGTCTCATTGACATCTCCCCTGAGCAGTACTAGACATTGATAAATTATTCTTTGGAATCTCCTAGACTCCATAAAGAACACCCTACTTCTGCTGTATATTCTTTAGCTATATTACTATAAAATTAACTATTTGTATTTATTTAGTTGTAACTATGTTGGGGTTATAGGCACGCTGAGACTAAATTCTAGTCAATTTCATCGAACTTCAGTGTTTCTAAATCTCCTCAGTCACACATTTGGACATCTCTTGTGTTCCTTTCCTTTTCTCTCCTTCCCTTTCCTTCACCTTTTTCCCTTTCCTTTCCCCTTTTCCATTTTCCTCCTTCCTTTTCTCCTTCCCTGCCTTGCTGCTTCCTTCTTCTTCTTTAAGCTTTTAGATATACCTTTGTCTTTACTTTTTAAAATTGCCTGTGGATTTTTTGATCTGACTTTATTGCTACATTTTCCATGTTTTGCTTTATCCTAGGTGTCTTAGTTATCTAGTGCTGCTGTAACAGAAATACAAGTGGGTGGCTTTAACAAACAGAAGTTAATTCTCTCACAGTTTAAGAGGCTAGAAGTCCGAATTCAGGGCGCCAGCTCCAGGGGAAGCTTTCTTTGTCTGTTGGCTCTGGGGGAAGGTCCTTGTCATCAATCTTCCCCTGGTCTAGGAAGCTTCTCAGCACAGGGACCCTTGCTCCAAAGATGTGCTCCATTCTCGGCTCTTCTTTCTTGGTGGTAGGAGGTTCCTCTCCTCTCTGCTTGATTCTGTCTTTTATATCTCAAAAGAGATTGACTCAAGACACAACCTAATCCTCTAGATTGAGTTTTGCCTCATTAACATAACTGCCTCTAATGCTGCCTCATTAACTTCATAGATGTTAGGATTTATGACACATAGGATAATCACATCAGATCACAAAACCACCACACAATACTGGGAATCATGGCCTAGCCAAGTTGACACACATTTTTGGGGGACAGTTCAATTCATAACAGTAGGTAATTGGCTTTTCCTAAACAGATCATAAGAAGGATCAGTGGCTCTACTTAAAAATCTATGAATATTTTTCCCCAGTGATGAAATTTGGAGAACAATAGGCAAAAGACTATCTAGACAAGGGACTACCTGCCCAGATTTCAAACACACGCTGCCTCTGCTTTCAAGGCCGTAGGATCTACCTAAGGAAGGTTGTTTGCTTGTTTCACTGGAAACCTCTACATTTGACTGTTGGGGCTTATAGGTTCTTATTACTACATATCTTTAGTTTCCAGATTAGTCTCAAGAGCAGTTTAATGAGGTGAAAATTTCTGGAATACCTTACATATTGATGCTAGATTTTTCCGTGATTTGTCAGTATAAGACTGGTATACAAACGTATGCTACCTTTGAACCCAGAATACTTGATTTCATAAAGAAAAGGCCCTCCTTTTTTTTTTTTTTTACTTTTTATCGAAATGCAACATACACAGAAAATTGCACAAATCCTCAGTGTGTAGCTTGATGAATTGTTACATGTTACCATGTAACCAACATTCAGATAAAGAAATAGAACATTATCAGTCCCCAAGAAGCCTTCGTGACCTGTATCACTATCATAGATTACTTTTGCCTGTTTTGAATTTCATAAGAATGCAATCATAAAAGTATGTATGCTTCTGTATCTAGGTTCTTTCACTCAACATTCGTTCAACAGCAGCTCATTGCTTTATCAAATTCTGTTGAATGAATATACCACATTTATTTTTCTATTTTACTGTTCATGGACATTTGGATTATTTCCAAATTTCAGTTATTATGAATAAGGGTATAATAAACATTTTTGTATATATCTTTTGGTGGCTGTCTGTACTTGTTTCTCTTGGATATATACATCAATGTTGAATTTCTGAATTGTAAGGTAGGTATATATTTAACTTTGTTAGGTGCTTCAAACTGCTTTCTGAGATGGTTGTACCAATTCCACACTCCCAACACCAAAGTATGAGAGTTACAGTTGCTTTGCATCCTTGTCAACACTTGGTATTGTCTATCTTTTAAAATTTAGCCATCTGGGTTGGTGTGTAGTGGTTTTAATTTGAATTTTCCTGATAAGTATTGATGTTGATACTTTTTATAGCTTTTTTAGCTTTTTGGATGTTCTTTTGTAAATGCCTGTCTATTTTGTTTACTTACTTATTTTTGCCCATGTTTTTATTAGGTTACTGCCTTTTTTTTTTTTTTTTACTGATTTGTAGGAGTTCTTACATTTTATCAGTAAAAGTCCTTTGTTGGATATATGTCCTGCAAATATCTTCTACCAGTCTGTGGCTTGCTTTTTTTCTCTCTTAACGGCATCTTTTGATGAATAGAAATTCTTCATTTTATTATCCAGTGTATCAATGTTTTTATTTATGGTTGTCACTTTTTGTGTCCTGCTTACAAAATATTTGCCTACCCCAAGATCATGAAGATATTTTCCTAAGCTTTATTGTTTTACCTTTCACTTTCCATCTGGAATTGATTTTTGTGTATAATATAATGTGGGGGAGGGGTCAAGATTTTCTTTTTTTACATTTATTGAAAAGACCTTTTTTCCTACACTGACCTAAAGTGCAGTTTTTGTCATAAATCAAGTGTATGTACGGGTCTCTTTCTGAACTTTCTCTTCTGTTCTTTTAGTCCATTTTTGTCTACCCTTGTGCGCTACCACACTATCATAATTACCATAGCATTATTATAAGTCTTGATATCTGGAAGTATAATTGCTTCAGCTTTTTTGTTCTTTGCCTTGCCTATTCTTGGCTTTTGCTGGATTATAATTGGGATTGCATTGGATCTACAGATCAATTTGAGGAGAATTGATGTATTTACAATATTGAGTCTTCAAATCTATGAGCATGTATATCCTTCTCTCTATTTGGGCCTTCTTTAATTTCTCTTATTATGTAGAAATTTGTACGTATTTAGGTATATTCCTATGTATTTTATGTTTTTAGATGTTATTATAATAGTATCCTTTTAAAATTTTCATTTTGTATTTTGTTTTTAGTTACAGGTATGTAGAAATACAATTTTTCTATATTGACTTTGTATACAATGACCTTGCTAAATTCATTTATTGATTCTAATAGTTTGTATCTAGATTATTTGGAGTTTTCTCTGTACACTATGTTATATGTGAATAATGACATTTTTTTCCCTTCCTTTCTAATCCTTAGCTTATTTCTTTTTCTGGGCTTATTATACTGACTGAGACCTCCAGTACAATTTGAATAGAACAAGGGTACCCTCGTCTTGATTCCTAGCTCAGAGGGAAGGCATATCTCTGATGATTAATGATATTGGGCATCTTTTCATGTATTTTTTAGCCATTGTATGTATTTTTTGTGAAGTGTCTTTTGAGATCTTTTGCTCATTTTTTTAACTGGGTTTATCTTATCGAGTTGGGAGAGTTCTTTATATATACTGTATATATACACATACATGCATTGCAAATATTTTCTCCCAGTCTGTGGCTTGGCTTTTCATTGTCTTCATGGTGTCTTTTGAAGAACAAACTTTTTTAATTTTGATAGAGCTTTTTGGTTAACTTTATTTTTATACAATATCAAACATACAGAAAAGTTGCAAGAATAGTAGAAAGAACTCTTGTATATGTTTTACCAGCTTCACCAGTTGTTGTAATTGCCCCCCATTTGCTCTGTCATTTGAGCTCTTCTGCACGCTTTTGCATGTGTTCTCTATTTATATACACATATATTTTTCTGAACCATAGTAGGCATCATTTGCCTTTACTCTTAAATGCTTCCATGTGTTTTATTAAGAAACGCTTTTACATAACCAAGCACAGTGGTCAAAATCAGAAAATTTAACATTGATATCAATATTACTCCACATCCCATTTCAAATTTGTTAATTATGTCCTTTATAGTTTTTTCTTTTCCCCCTCAGTCCAGGATCCAATTCAGGATCACATGTTGCATTTAGTTGCCATGTTTCTTTAGTCTCCTTTAGTCTGGAACATTTTCTCAGCCTTCTTTTATTATCTTTCATGACCTTGATGTTTTTGAAGTGCATAGGACACTTATTTTGTAGAATGCCCATCAGTTTGCATTTATCTGATAGTTCCTCACAATTAAAAAGAGTTTATGCATTTTTGGCAGGAGTATCACAGAAGGATATTGTGTCCTTCTCAGGGCATCACATCAGGAGGCATATGATATTGGTTTATTGGATTATTAGTGGTGTTAGCTTTGATAATTTTCTTAAGATCGTATCCACTAGGTTTCTCATTTACCCCTTCACCTTTTGTTTTTTATTGTTCTGCATTTTTAATTTTACATTTATTTTAAACTCACAAGATATAATTATTATTGTTTTATATAGTCAATTATTCATTATATTTATCCACATATTTACTCTTTCCATTGCTTTTCATTATTTCCTACATTTCTGTGTATTTCTGGAATTACTTTCCTTCTGCCTGAAGATCTTTTAGTATTTCTTTTAGTGCAGCTCTTCTGATGATGAATTCTCTCAGTATTTGTTTGCCTGAAAATGTCTTTTGTCACTTTAATTTTTTAAAGATATTTTCACTGAGTATAGAATTCTAGGTTGTCAGTTTTTTTGTCTGTTTGTTTTTTCTCCCAACACTTTTAGGACATCATTTCATTGTATTCTGAGTTCCATTTTTTCTGTTGAGAAGTCTCAGCTCTTAATTTTATTACTGTTCCTTTAAAAGTAATATCCTTTTCTCTGGCTGTTTTTAAGATATTTTCCTTTTTGTTTAGTTTATTAGTTTGACTGTGATTTATGTATTCGTTATCTATTGCTGTACAACAAATTGTATTGCCCCTGCTGAAGAGGTGGGCCTAGGTTGCTACTAGGAGTTACTTTCTGCCCCCTACTTATAACTAATTGGATAGGGGTGAACACCTGACCCAGACTAAGCTAAAATGCTTCCTTCTTTGGAAATTAAAACTAAGAACCTGAGAAATCAGTGGTGGGCTTTGGGGAAGAAAGGTCAGTAGTGGTCAGTAGAGCCAGTAGAGTGGCATGGCAGACCAAAGCTGGTACAAGTCAAAGTTATGGGTGAACAGAAAACAAGAGTTGTGCAAGACAATGCAATTAGCTAAGAAGAGTGGAGACGGGAGCCCAAGTGGTGTTAAGGGAGGAAAGATGGAGACAGCAGCTGCTTGAGGACTTCTTGTTTTTCAAAAGGTGTGCATTTGGTTTCTATGAGAGTTCCTGTGTATTTTCCAGTAAATTCCATCTTACCTTGGACTTGCTTGAGCAGACTTCTTTACCTTTCAATCAACAACAACAAAATAAAAAGTAAAAAATATTTTTTCCAGAAAACTTGACATGTAAATAACCACTCAGTAAATAGCAGCTACTGCTGTTCCTGTTGTTATTCAGACCCTAAAATGGAATAAAGAAGTGATCCTTAGGATTTTCTAGTCATAGAATTCTTTTCATAAGGGATAAGATAAGGTGTTTGTAAGCTAAAAGCAGTGGGGGTGGGCCACATGTTTTAGGAGATCTACTAGACATAATGCAAATTTAATACTTTAAACAATGGTCAGTATATAATTATGAGCGGATGCACTGGTGTTGAAGCAGCTGGAAATGCACTTGTCTTATTTATTTTATTATGCTTTCTTCTTTTGTTTCTTCCAGACCCTTGCTGTCTTTCATGAGAAGGAGAAAATCTAAGAAACTTAGAGAAATACATAATGATTAATTAAATAGCTAATACTTTGAGTATTAAAACTCTTGGGCTTTGAGTTTTAAAATATTGGTTTCTTGCAAATGCTTTTTTAAATTGGTAGAGTTATTATGTTATCTTAAGACAAATGAAAAACTTAACCTTTTTTGGTCCTTTCTATAGGTTCTCCAAGGACATAAAACTTTCCTTAATGATGCTTATAACTGGGAGTTTTTGATCTGGGAAATGGCTTTACTGCTTTTCTTACTGCGCCTGGCCTCACTGGGGTCTGAAACCAATAAGAAATACAGCAATGTTTCGATATTACTTACTGAACAGGTATTGATTGGTCCGTTAGCTTGGTTCACTGGTTAGAGGTGGCACGATAATACTGTAAGATTTATGTGGAGTTGATTAAGGGTAGAGTTGCACATCTGATGAATGTAATTGCTGTCAGTAAGTTGTACACCTATAAAAAGTTGAACTGGCAAAAGTTGTGTGATAGATATATTTACAACGACCAAAAAAAAAAAACTGCTGAGGCTGCTTATATACAAATACCTCATAGGATTTGGTTCCTTGGTTTGGAGATTTAGGGTCATGATTTCATGGGACTTATCAGTTAACTGGCCTAATAATATGTTTAGTGCTTCTCTTCTACCTCCTAGTTCATTGCGTAGTGCCTGGGGTCTTAAAAGTTTGTAGTTAGCCATTCAAGGCACAATAATAGGTCTCTATTCACTGGGAGCAACAGAGGAAGAAGGAGAGTCAGAAATAGGAGGAGGAAATGGAATGTGTGGCTAATTGCCTCCATGAACAACTGCCTCCTTTGCCATGAGACCCGAAGAACTGGATGGTGCCTCACTACCATTACTGAAAGTTTTGATAAAAAATTCTGTAGAAAAATTCTGACCAAAAGGGGAAAAATGCAGACTAGAATTTCAAATTCTCATGGGACTCCAGACTTTCTGGAGCCATGGAGGCTGCATGAACCCCTGAAACTATTGCCCTGAGAGAATCTTTAAGCCTTAAACCAAAAATATTCCCTGAAGTCTTCTTAAAACCAAACAGTAGTTTAGCTTAACTAGTAAAGAATGTCTGCCTTAAGCATTGTCCTCTTTTAAGATCTATCTATATGGGATCAAATTAACAACAGCAACTCAAAGGATTCGATAGGAACCTCAGCGAGCAGTGAGTTTATATTAATGAGGGAGAAACAACTCAGAAAAGGAGGGTGAGAATGGCTGCACAACTCGAAGAATGTGATCAGTGTCACTGGACTGTACATGTAGTAACTGTTGAATTAGTGTATGCTCTGCTATATACCTTCTCAACAAGAACAAAAAATACAATAAATTATATTTTAAAAAGTCTCTGAAAATACCACTATAGTTCAATTATAAGTGAACTAGTGTACATTGACTAAAAGGTAGCTTTCTTATGAAATCTAGATTCAGGTTTTCTAGCCAAAAGGAAAAACAGCAAGAAGATGTTGATTTAAAATCAAATGAATTTTTTAAAAGGCCAAAAAATTATGGGGAAGATTCAGAGTTGGGTCTAGATTCTACCACTCTCTATTCTGTGACCTCACAACTCACTTTGCTCTGCTATATTTGTTTCTTCCTTATAAAATGGGGGTAATATCTTCCCCACCTGCTTCCAGGATTGTGAAAATTAAAATCTAAAGAATTGAAAGTATTTTATACACTCTAAAGGTATTTTTATTGGTGGTAATGGGCTTTTAATGTCATATTTTACATCAAGTATTAGCTCTTAAGAGAACTTGTAATTTAAATATGTTTACTAAGCTTCTTGAATTTCTTCTGTATTAGCCATAGAATACATTTTTCAATGTTTGGAAAAACTTACTCTTCAGTATGTGAATAGATAAGATTGAGAACGGTTTCTTACAAATACAGAGTAGTATAAAGTTTTTAAAGATTTTTTCAAAATTTCAGTTTAGCTGTAAGCTTTAAAATAAAAACATCTGACATCATGAGATGACCTTTTTTTTTTTGCCTTAGAATTATAGTGGAGAATTCTTTTTATAAGGGATAAAATAAAGTAAGTTAAAAGCAGCTGTCTTTATTCCATAAATGTTTAATGAGGATATTGGAGCCTTGGTGATGGAGTGGTTAAGAGCTCGGCTGCTAACCAAAAGGTCAGCAGTTTGAATCCACCAGCCACTCCTTGGAAACCTTATGGGGCAGTTCTACTCTGTCCTACAGGGTCACTATGTGTCAGAATCGACTCAGTGGCAGTGGGTTAGTGGGTTAATGAGGATATTAGATTGTTTGGGGGATACCAAGATGAGTAAAATATAGTTTTTGAATTCAAGGAGTTTACATGCTAATTATATTATAACTAATACTAAATTTGTCATTGCTTTGATATTTAAATTGCTTCATCATTAATTATTTTTGCTTCATGACATAGTTTTTCTTTGGCGGAGACATGATTGATTAGGGGTGAGGCTTGGGTATGTGACATGTTCTGTATAAATAGCTGCTGGGTTTCAAAATTCATTTTACTTGAAAACATAACCCTCAAAATCTGCCAGATTTTATGCAACATGTGTCTTTTTTCCTATAAAATCCACCATAATCCCTATTCTTTCCCTTAGATTAATTTGTATCTTAAGATGGAAAAAAAGCCAAATAAGAAAGAACAGCTCACGCTGGTAAACAATGTGTTAAAGTTATCCACCAAGTTGTTGAAAGTAAGTAATATCAATGACACACTTTTACTACCATTTAAATTAAATCAGTAGTTTATGTCTTGGAAAAGGCCTTGATAATAGATGGGTGTGCTAGGCTGTGTAGGTTCTAAATGCTGACCTGATAGTTTTGGGTTAATGACTGTATAAGAAAAAATTTTCTGTCTTCTTACTCAGGTTCTGATGATTGCTGATGTCTGTCAGATTTTTTAAATTACATTTCTCTACCACAACTGACATATTTCTAAAATCTATCTTAGAAAGCTTAGCTAGTGGAAAAGTAGGTGAGAGTACATTAGGGATTTTTATATGGTAGCTCTTGAATATGAAGCACAGATAACTTTGAACAGCCATCTCGACACAAGGCTTAAAAAACAGCCAGGAAATCACTGTTGGCTATTGAGAAACCATGTATCTCACTCCAGTTCTTTCTTGTTTTCGTAGGAACTGGACACACCATTTAGACTCTATGGACTGACAATGAATCCCTTAATCTACAACATCACACGAGTAGTTATCCTTTCTGCTGTCTCAGGGATTATAAGTGATCTTCTAGGATTTAATATAAGAGTAAGTATGACTACCACTCTGTAGCATCTGTCTTAGTCTTAAAACATAATAATCTTTGCTCTTCACATGCTCTTCTTTTTTTTTTTTTTTTTATTTGTGACTGGCATGGAAATGACTCTTGAGGTAAAGAAATAGGCATTTTAATTGGTGGTCCATAGACTTTTCAGCTTAGGTTTTCTCATTTTATACAAGTACAATAGACTGTACTTTTGAATGGAACAAAAAATCAAGATTGAATGTCACATCAGTTTAATAGCTTGGGTTGGGTAAGGGCCTTCCTCTGATCTAGGGAAATGTCCAGAGGCAGAATGAATGAAAACTAAAAACACAAGAATTGCAGTGCGTCGTTTTTGATCCTGGAAGTTTTTTAATGTTTTTTCCCATGGTGCGCTGTGGTTGCTGTTGTCATAATTGATACTGTTTTTTCCTTATATAAAGGATTCTTGGTTTGTAGTCATGTACACGTACCTATAAACCCCCACCTGTTTGTCTTGAAACTAACTTATTTTGGTGATTTTCTTTTCTTAGCTGTGGAAAATTAAATCATAAGCTGAGTCATTTACCAGGACTCTCCCCTTGCTGGCATCACTACTTACCAATAAAGGAAAGAGATGACTTCAGAAACGAGTGAGATCTCTACCTGCTTGTTCACATGCAGAGGTGCCCTCAGCTCTACCAGATATATCCTGTGGCGTTTTCAGAGGAACAAACTCTCTTCCAACTGGGTGTGCATATGAAAAACATTTTTATGGTTTTGAAACCATATGAATAGTCAGAAGACTAAAGACTGTGTTATGGTAACACAAAGAAATAACTTTCTAAGTTGGGAAATTTATTCTGGGCACTTCAGTGCCATTATATATACATGGAAAGTCTTTTGGGTAACTATCGTAGGTGCCCAAACATGAAGCAAATATCCTTCACTGGAAATATGCAAGCTCAGTACTTTTCAATGACAACCTATGGAATTAGAGATTTCATTTCTCTAGCAACAAGAGATCAAATTTAAGCTACTCTAGGTTGGCTCCAAATAAAAGAACTTTACTGGATAATTTCAGTTTCTAGGCTTTTTTGTTGTTGTTGAAGGAAAAATATAACCTTTTTAAACTGCAAGTTTCTGTTAAACTGTGGAGAAATTTTTAATTAGCTTATAATTTTGAAGTTAACCCTAATAATTGTATAATTATTAATGAAAGAGTTATGCATACAATATGCCGTGCCATTCAGCATGAGAAATCTAAGTATATGCAAACGTACTCATCCATGTCCATCATACAACATGGTTTCCATATAGATCATTTGAGCTGTGTTTCCTGTCACAGTACTAAGTGAAGCGTTAATAGTTTGCCTGTTGTGCAGCTTCATGTGTCAAATCCTCAGTACAATGTCAGATCTTCAGTGTCTATAATCAGCTAAGCTATACCTTTGATGATTTAGGTTCTTTTATCACCATTCCCTATTACACACACGTGCACAGGTACATGTTAATGAAAACTCTAGCCATTTACTTGTAACTCTGGCTCATTTAAGTTACCTGCTCTGAAGAATCTAGTTGAGGCAAATTGAAAGCCTTAATTTTTTAATGATAAGATTTTGTGAATTTTTAATGAAAATAGTTTAGAAACCTAGTCATTAATTATATGTAAAGCATGTACTTATGCAAAATCAGTTTATCAGTTACATATATCCTAATATGAAGATTTATATTAGGTTCAAAGATGAATTTCTCAAGAGTTCAGGATTGAGGTCAGAGCTTTCTGGGTTCACATTCTTGACCCTGTCATTTATTAGCTTCATAATCTGGGGCAAATTACTTAACCTCTATGCGTCTCAATTTCTTCACCTGTTAAAAGGGAATAATAATTACCTACTAAGGTTGTTAAGGTTAAGTGAGATTGTCATGTACGTATCGAAGTGCCAGGCACTTAGTAAATCCACAGTAAACACTTGTTGTATTTAATTCATTACCATTGGCATAAATGTTATGCCAGCCACTTTTTATGCCCTTGGACCAATGTGGCAAGATGTTATTCTGGTTCTAATGCATTTAGTGTCAAGGTGGGTCCCTTTTGAAATGCATGAAGCTCTGCAGAATGGAGTTGTAGCTTCATTGTTGTGTAGGTTGGGCATTCTATTAGGTGATACTTTCTGAATGTGTTAGTTTTGTAAACATTTTCCTTTATTTCTGGGAGATAAGGCTTGCAAGCATAATTATGGCTTTCCTGTGTGATAGTTAGGGAGCCCAGATGGGTTTGTTGTGGTTTTTCTGTGTCATATTTGGAAAACAAGAGGCTCCCCATGTAACCTAATGGAAAGGTGCCCACAATAAATTACATCTCTAGTTTCCATTGTCATACCATCATGCCACAGATCGGTGGCGCCACAGTGCCACTAGCTTCATTGGCAGATTGTATTGCGAGATCCTATTTCTCAAAATCCATATTACCACCCCAAATTTAAACACACTCAATTAGTAAGCATGCATTACGATACTGAAAACACATGCCATCCAAAAAAAGGAGAAAAAATATAATAACAAAAGGATTAAAGCACCTTTAAAAATCTCTTACTGATAGGTTACTAACTGTGAAGATTGAAAAGTAGGAAGCAAGGTTGCTAAACTAGGAGCAGACTACCAAAAATACGCAGCCAGTCTAAATACTGCATGAGCATTATAAAAAAAAAAAAAAAAGGTAAAATCCCATTTTAGTGATTTACATTTACAAGCAACTGTTCAGTAGAGATACTTCAGTGTCTCAACAGATGGCCCACAGAAATCATGCTTTTACTATTTTCTATAAGGAACAATAGCAACTCTCAACTCCAAACACAACATTGAGCTCAGTGCAGATTCCAGATGAAGAAAGCTGATGTTTTTATTTTTTCCTCCTATAAAAAATGCTGTTGTTTTTATTTACAATTTTACACAGTGAATTCTCTATAGTTTAAATTCAGTATTCAGAATACACTAGTTTGTTCTTGTGGGTTGCTTCATTTTTGGTTTTGATGATGTATAATTGGTTTAAATTCTTTTTCAGATGGGTAAGATTATATGCAAGTACAGCTGCTCATGTCAGAAACTTGGGAATCATTCTTGACTCTTCTTCATCATACCACACATCCAATCAATCACCAAGTCTTTTAATAATTATCTTCCAAATATCTTTCTAATCAGTCCACTCTTCTCCATCTCCTCTTCCATCACCCTAGTCTAAGCCAACATACTTTGTTTTTTGAACAAGTTTTTGCTGCTTCTGCTCTTACATTACGCGTGGCACTCCTTCCCCCAAACCCAATCCATTCTTCTCAAAAAGGTCATGTGTCCTTGCTGAAATGCAAGTCTCAGCATTTGTAATCCATTAATGGCTTGCTATCACTTTGAAGATAAAAATCCAAAATCCTTTTACCAAGGTATACAGGCTCAGCCTGTTGAAAAAGTCTTTATTTTGCCTTTACATTTGTAAGGTAATTTTTGCAGGGTATAAAATTCTAGGATTAAAGAGGTTGTTGGTCCATTGCTTCTTGGATTGCATTGTTTCTGACAAGAAATTTGCTGTCATTGTTTTCTTTGGTCCTCTGTATGTAACATGTCTTTTCTCCCCCTCTGGCTGTTTTTATCATTTGATTGATTGCAGCAATTTTCCTTGATTGCAGCTTTCTTCATGTTTGTGTGTGTGTTTGTTGAACTGTTGGATCTGTGGGTTTGTAGTTTTCATAAAATTTGGAATAATTTTGGCCATTATTTCTCTTTCTTTTTTTTTATTGTACTTCAGGTGAAGGCTTACAGAACAAATAGTTTCTCATGAAACAGTAGTACACATATTGTTTTATGACATTGGTTAACAACCCTACAACATGTCAACCCTCTCCCTTCTCGACCTTTTTTTTTTTTTTTTTTTTTTGGTGAAAATATACATAGCCAAAGATACACCATTTCAAAAATGTCTACATGCACAGTTCAGTGACATCGACTATGCTCTTCCAATTGTGCTGCCACTGTCACTTTAGATGAAGGCTTACAGAACAAAATAGTTTCTCATTTAACAGTTAGTACACATGTTGCCCTATGACAATGGTTAACAACTTCACAACACATCAACACTATCCTTACTCAACCTTGGGTTCCTTATCAGCAGCTTTCCTGTCCCCCTCCGCCCTCTGGCCCTTTTCCCTGGACTGCTGTGCCTCATTAGTTCCATTTGCTTTTATGGGGCTGTCCACTCCCCGGCTGAACGGTGAACCTCAGAAATGACTTCACCACTGAGCTAAAAGGGTGTCTGGGGGTCATACTCTCAGGGTTTCTCCAGTCTCCTTTAGGCCAGTAAATCTGGTCTTTTCCTTGTGAATTAGAATTTTGTTCTACATCCTTCTCCAGCTCTGTCCAGAACCCTCTGTTGTGATCCCGGTCAAAGCAGTCAGTGGTGGTAGCCGGGCACCATCTAGCTGTACTGGACTCAGTCTGGTGGAGTTGGCCATTATTTCTTAAAATAATTTTTATGTACCACACTTTCATCCACTTCTTTCTGGGACTCCAGTTTACATATATATCAGGCTGCTTGAAGTTGTCTCACAGCTCACTGATGCTCTATATATCTTTTCAGTCTTCTTTATCTTTGTTTTTCATTTTGGATTCTTTTGTTATACTTTCAAGGTCACAAACCTATTCTTCTGCAGTGTTTAATAGGCTGTCAATCCCATCCAATGTATTTTTTGTCTCTAGAAGTTTGATTTTGGTGTATGTATTTTCTAGGTCTCTCCTTAATATGCTTGTTCTTTTCTCTACCTTCTTTAACAGAATGAATGTATTTGTAATAGAATTAGTAAATAAGGACATTAAAACACCTATCACCTGTATAATTTTTGGGTGTGTTTCTATTGATTGGTTTTTCTTCTCATTATGGGTTATATTTTCCTGCTCTTTGGCATTTCTGGTAATTTTTTTATTGAATGTGAATTTTTGGCTATTGGATTTTTGTATGTATGTGTGTATTCTTTTTGGATTATTTTAAATATTCTTGAGCTTTTTTCTGGAATGCAGTTATGTTACTTGGAAACAGCTTGATCATTTCAAGGCTTGCTTTTTTAAGCTTTGTTAGCTGGGCCAGAGCAGCCTTTAGTCTAGGGCTAATTTTCTCCACGACTGAAGCAATTCCATTCTGAGTACTCTACTTGATACCTTGTGCATTATAAAGTTTCTCCACTTTAGCTGTGTGAACGTGAACCAGTCCCAGCCTTGTGTGAGCTTCAGGAATTTTTCTGCCTGCTTCTTTTTGGTGGTTCTTTCCCTGTTCTTGGGTAGTTTCCTCATATGCTTGTGCTCAATACTCAGGTGAAGACTTGAATCCTTTGCACATCTTTGGAACTCTCTCCTCTCTATGCAGTCTGATAGCCTGCCAAACAAATTCTAGCTACTTTGGCCTCCTCAAATTTTCATCTCTGTCTCCTCAACTCAGCAAGACTGCTTGATTCTGTTTAGGTTCCCTCTCCTTGCACCGCAGCCTGGAAACTGCCTCCCAGCAATAAGCTGAGGCAATCATAGGAATCATCTCATTTATTTCCACCATCCTGTGCTGCCTATTGTCCAATGTTTAAACCCCATTTTTTTTCCCACACACTTTGTCCATTTTTTTTCAATTGTTTAATGTGGGAGAGTAAATGTTTTCCACCTTAGTAAAGGAACAAAGTATACCCACTTGCCCAAGCCAAGGCTTAGTGTTTATCCTTGGTTCTTTTCTTCATATTGTAGCCACCATCAAGTCATATCAGTTCTACATTTCCACTGTTACTCTAGGTTAAGCTTCCTTCACTGTCACCTGGACTACTATGTTGACCCGCTGGTGTTTTTCCATTTTGGCCTTCTAGAGTCAGTTCTCCACAGCTACCTGAATGAGCTATGGAAATTATATCATTCCTCACCTACTTAAACCCTTCCTGGTTTCCCCTGCAATCCAAAGTCCTTCATTATCAGTCCTGTCAACTTTTCCAACTTCATCTCAGTACCTTCCGACCACACTAGTCTTCCTCTTTGTTCATTATACCAAGTTCTTTCTCATATCAGGCCTTTATGCAAGCTTATTTTCTCTGCTTGGAATAATTTTTCTTAAGCTCTTCCCTGGCTGGCTTCTTATCTTTTAACTCTCAGCTTAGATTTCAGTTCCTCAGAGGAGCCTCCCTGATAATCTTAGTTAAAATAGTTCCCCATTTTATTTCTGTTGTCATATCTCCCTGTTAATTGCCTTGATGACAATTATCATAATCTGATACTCTTGTTTACTTTTTGTCTACATTTGTCTTCCTTGAAGGCACAGACTTTTTATTTGCTCCTGTATCGCCAGAATACAGGAATACAGAACCATGCCAGACCCACAGTAGGTGCTAAATAAAAATGTGTTGAATGAATGGGGAGTAGACCTCAAGTAATTTCCCATTCACACAATTTTTTTTTAAGGATGGAAAAGTTCTAATTTCATGGTTTCTCTACCTCTGCCCACCAATGCTTCACTTAATACGTGTATAAATAATTTCTAGAGACTTGGGCTTCTTTTTAGATTCCAAAAAAAGGAATGAGAGCTAGTATATTTTGGTAATATTTACCTGTTACTGAGAAATTACACCAAGATGGAAAAACAGAACCAAATTAGGCCATTCATACATTTAACTGGAATAGTAATACCATCCTGTAAACAAAACCTGTTGCCGTTGAGTCAATTCCGACTCATAGCGACCCTATAAGACAGAGTAGAACAGCCCCATAGGGTTTCCAAGGAGAGGCTGGTGGATTAGAACTGCCAATCTCTTGGTTAGCAGCTTAACCACTGCACCACCAGGGCTCTAGTAATACCATAGAAGGATAAGAAGAATCCCTGTTGACTTAATTTTATAGTTTGCTGTTTACTGGGAAAAAACTATCCCTCCTAAAATTGCTGTGCAGGTATAATCTCTAAACATCCTAAATATGTATATTATTGCCCATGCAGAATATAAACTAAACAATGTTATTGACAGTTGAATAACCAAATACTTGCCTAATTGGGATATGGTTCTCTTAACTTTCAGAGACATGTAGAAAAATTCTAAATTCCAGGATGTCTCAGAAAGTATTAGCTTATGGGCTTATGTTTTTATTTTTGGTTGATTGTATTTAGAGGTAAGCGGACCTCTGCACTGTAAAAATAACCCTCTTTCAAAGTAATGAAATTCTTTTTTGGTATTTTTTAATCTGTACTCATAATGGGCCAGATGGGTACCACTTCCAAATATAGTGTGTGATTTGTGAATAACAAGAAGTTAATTCATTAAATTTCATCTGTACATGTATTGACTAGTGATTTTTTTTTTTTTTTTTTTGGTTTTAATGAAGAGAAATTTATTTCCTCACAATCAAAGTAGGCTAAAAGTCCAAATTCAGGGTGTCAGCTCCAGGGGAAGGCTTTTTCTCTCTGTTGGCCTTCTCATCAGTGTTCCCCCGGACTAGGAGCTTCTCGGGTGCAGGGACCCCAGTCCAAAGGACGCGCGCTCTGCTCCCGGCATTGCTTTCTTGATGGTATGAGGTCCCCGTCTCACTGCTCACTCCTGTCTTTTATATCTCAAGAGATTGCGTCAGGACACAATCCAGTCTTATAGATCCAGTCCTGCCTTACTAACACAACTGCCACCCACCCTTCCTCATTAACATCATAGAGGCAGGTTTACAACATACAGGAAAATCACACAGTACCAGGAATCATGGCCTAGCCAAATTGATATACACATTTTTTGGGGGACATGATTCAAACCATGACATTCCACCCTTTGGCCCCAAAGAATCACATCCTTGCAACGTGGAAAACATATTCACCCCATCATATAGCAAAAGTCTTAACTCCAAGTCCAAAATCCAAAAATTCTTCTTCATCTGTGAAATCTAGAATACAAGTTATCTGCTTCCAAAGGTACAATGGCAGAACAGGCACAAGCTAGACACTTCCATTACAAATGGGAGAAATTAGAGGAAAGGAAGTGAAAACAGGCACCAAGCAAGTCAGCAGAACACATAACATTAGCCCTCAAGGCTTTGAAAATAATCTCCTGTTCTCTGAGACAATTTACACAATAGCCCTGCCCTCCAGACTCTAGGTATTGGCCACAGTCTCTGGATTCTGAGTGGAGGCCCATCAGCCCTGGGCTTCAGCTCCGCCTACCAGGCCCACTGGGACAGCAACTCTGCTCCCTTGGCTTTAGATGCACCATTCTCCTAGTCCATCGGAGTGACAACTCCACCCTTAGAAACACCAGAGGCCATGGCTCCAGACTTGGAAACCCCTGAGGTCACGGCCATACCTTTTGAGGCAGAAGCAGCTTGGCTTTTTGTGTCCCTTGTCTCTTCAGCTTCTGCTTCTGTTTCCTGTGACCTCTTGGCCCTCGGGCCTCATGCCCGCATCTGCCCTGCTGGGGCAAGTGTTCCAAAGCTCTGTACTCCACCGGTATAAGTGCCTGGAGGCACCCCACTCTGCCAGAAAGCCTCGTGCACACAGACACTCAGCTCTCTCGCTCCGTGGGTTGGCAAGCCTAGCTCCACCGATAAGTGCGCAGAGGCACCCCACCCCGCCAGGAAGCCTCCTGCACACAGGCACTCAGCTCCCTTGCTGAGTGGGTTGGCAAGCCTAGCTCCACCGATAAGTGCCCAGAGGCACCCCACTCTGCCAAGAAGCCTCCTGCTCACAGGCATTCAGCTCTCTGGCTCCGTGGGTCGGCTCCAGCGCCGTCTTGCACCTGTCTCCTGGTTCTGCTGCTGTTGGTTCTGTGCTGCTGCTGCTTCTCTGCTGCTGCTGGTCCTCTGTCACTGCCGCACATCTATCCATTCAGTTTTAAAACCGCTTCCACATTTTAGGTATCTGTTAGAGCAGCACCCCATTCTCTCGGTACCAAATTCTGTCTTAGTCATCTAGTGCTGCCATAACAGAAATACCACAAGTGGATGGTTTTAACGAAGAGAAGTTTATTTCCTCACAATCAAAGTAGGCTATAAGTCCAAATTCAGGGTGTCAGCTCCAGGGGAAGGCTTTTTCTCTCTGTCGGCCTTCTCATCAGTGTTCCCCCAGACTAGGAGCTTCTCGGCGCAGGGACCCCTGTCCAAAAGATGCGCTCTGCTCCCGGCACTGCTTTCTTGATGGTATGAGGTCCCCTTGACTAGTCATTTTAAGTAATCCTTTGCTTCTTGAGTATACTATGGACTAAGCTTTGGCCTAATCACACGTATCTTTGTGGAAGATAGATTGTCATTCAGCTTAACTAATTTGAATACTCCTTGTTTTCTTTAAACCCAAGTCTTTTGGAATGTTGGTCATACTAAACAAAGTTAATTTGTCCACATGTTTAATAAGCTGAGTATCAAAGTGTAAAATTTTGCTGTTAGAAAAAAAATAACTAAGATATTCTCATGTAGAAATAAAAAGCCAAATGCTTTTCTGTGTCCAAGACTTATGAAATAGGATTGACCCTGTTCAAAAAGCTGCTTGGTCCATAAAGTTTGATATAACTAGGTTAGAACACAGTATTATAGGATCCTAGCTTTCTAATTTCTTTAATGAGACACTGTAATGGTATCCTAGAACTTTTCTACCTGTTACGCCCAATAAGAAAATACACCCACTAAAACAACTACTTCGCTACTACTTTCTGCAGCCTTTGCTACGGCACGCATCTCCACTGTGGGGCCCGAGAACTGGGGTTTGGGTTTTATTTCTAGTGTGAGTTCATGGTAGGAATTTATTTTTCCCCTCAAGAGTATTAAATTAATCATGGCTGTGAAATAGGTTTCAGGCATCATTCATACCACGAGTTAAATTAGATCAAGTCAAAACACTTCATTCTAAAACCAAGTATGTTGTTAGGTGCCACTGAATCTATTCTGACTCATAGTGACCCCATGTGACAGAGTAGAATTGCCCCATAGGGTTTCCTAGGCTGTAATCTTTTATAGGAACCGGTCTTTCTTCTGCAGAGCTGCTGGGCAGGTTTGAACCTCCAACCTTTTCAATAGCAGCCAAGCGCTTAACACTTGTGCCACCAGGGCTCATTAAAACAAGTATAATCTGGAGTAAATGACATTTAAAAATCATATGAATTGCCATAGTCTGATGAAATAGAATTTTGTGACCTTGTGGTAAATGGACTTACACTATATCCATTATAAATGTCTAGTAATTGAATTTCCAACAAAACAAGACTTCTCTCCCTGACAATGTAAGAAAGGATTCTGGTAGTGAATTATTTATGCACAGCTATTTTCTTTACAATGAAAAGTTTAAAATAAGTTAGGTATAGTGATATTTAATTCAAACCAGTTTCAGGCTTTACATATTGATAAAAGTGTAGCTATACAAATAAAGTCATCATTATAAGAGTCTTCCTTATTGTAGAACTTTGAATGTTTGTTACTTGGAGGGACAAAATCTATTTGAGGACTGAGACCATGATGGGAACTACCTCCACAAATAGAAAGCATATTAAACGAATCTAACAGTGAAAGAAAGGAAGGCCAAGAACTGTTTTTGTTTTGTTTTAATATCTATATAAAAAATAACGAGCGATTTACAGATCTTTCTCTAATCAGAACCTCAAGTGTATATATAAAGGTACTGTACAATATATAAACATTTACAACCAGTACATCCATATTTTGCTTAGCATTCCAAGGCCACATTGCTAAGTCAGTATATAATTAGTACAGTGACAGGTTAGTTAGAAAGGAAGAGCCACATCAGACTAACACATATGACATCAAAGTTATGTCACAGGTAACAAGAAAAATAGGATTTGTATCACTAATTGTGGACTATAGGGAAAATAAATCATTTCTGTGGTACTAAATTCTTAGCATTTATCAAGCCTCCTAATTTTGCTCTATTCAAGTAGTTACAATAGGTGGGTGAATATAGTTCTGGATGAAAAAAGGATTTCAAAAATCTCACTCTGGGAAGCATGTCTTATCTACAGGGATTGACTGAGTTGTTATATTAAATGGTTTCACAGTCAGACTCCGAGAGGGAGGGACCTAGACAGAATGTGTTTCACAGTAACAAGATGAACCCAGGGGGACAGAACAAGTATGTTCAAACACTCCATAAAATGGTTTTATTCTGAGAATGTTGCTTTATTTATAGATGCCACTGAATGCTGTACCAGGAGACTGAAAGACCTGGATCTATTTTATGGAGTTAAAAACTGTCTCTACCTTTCCACAAATATATTTAATTTTAATTAGACTTTAACAACAACAAAAAAAAAAAGCTTGGAAAATTTGTATACACTAAGCAGATGTTTAGTCTCCCCTTCTTGCTTTTAAACAAGAAAGTGATTAATGTAGCTAGAAATTAAATAAGATCCATTTTGTCCTTGCTGGGGAGGCCTCACACAGGTTCTGCTTCTAAACACCCAAATGTGTGCGGCTGCTACCGGCTGAGGTGATACTTTATCTGGCAAGGGGCTCTGAGACTAGTTTCATGATTAAGTCCCTTACACAATCTCTGTACAGGTACTAAGACTAATGACTTTAGTAGTAGGTATGGCCAAAATATCCAGAAATAGCAACTGGGTATTTTTAGTTCTAAGAGCAGTAAGTACTTCCACATGCTTTTTCATGGTTTTGTAATGAAATAGCTGAACCAGAGTAGGGTTATCTGAGACTCTGTAACTACATCAAGGTTGGATAACAATAACAGGAGGTGAATTCTTTATTGCTTAAAGCACTTCCTCATTTTGAACATTCAATTGTAAGTAACATCTTCAGCAGTTATTCAAAACACTTTATTCAAACCAAATTGAAATAAAAAGCCATAAGAAAGCATCAGTGTCTGCCTATATTTTTTTCTTTAAAGTAGTGATGTTTGGGGGGTTGTATTTTTAAACTGGGACGTTGTCAGTAGCTGTTAGAAGAGGCAACTGCCATCTTTAAATGGTAAGCTAACAATCTCTTCTTCTGCAAGGACTCAAATATTTCTTTCTGTAAACATGCAACATGCTATTGAGAATATCAACTTCCAGGCCAAACTGAGCTTTTTCATTAGTGGAAATATCTGCGTGAGAAGGATAAAACAGACATGGTACAGTAGATAGCTTGGCACAAATACAAAGTAAGTTGTGATCACATTGTCAGTATCAACATGGGTCATTTGTTCACACACTCAAGAAGACGGGCTGGGCAGCCTGAGCAGGGCATGTCAGATGAGCGCACAGATGCAGCTCCTTCCTGAGTGCGAGGCGGGCAGCCAGCCAGGGGACGGTTGGTTCTCAGCAATCCTAAAGGCCCTTCATGCAGCCTAGGAAACTTGATGCTCAAATTAAAATGTACTTACGTGTGTGTAAGAATTCCGGAAAAAAATGACTTTTGTTTTTAAAATGCTGCTTTTTAGTAAGAAAAGGTTAAAACTTGTTTTTCTTTGTTTTAGACTAAAGGTCACAGCCGTTTCTCGGCCACACCGGTGCCCGTGACTCTATTTGCACTTGGCACCTTCCAGGGCCCTGGAGTTATCGGTGTTTTCTTAACCGGAGAACTGCTTTCAGGTTTGAGCCCTCCATCCTCTTTGTTTTTGTCAGCTGCCTCTAGTTCTTTCCCTTTGTGATCTTCTATTTTGTTTAAAATTGTTCTTTCCTCAGGTTCCTGCTTCAGCTTCTTTTCTGATATTTTGACATTTTCTCCTATTTTATCTTTGCTAGAACTTATTTCTCCTAAGGTTGCTTTTTTTCCTTTTTCGTTTTCAGATACTACTCGACTAATAGTGTTATTAGCCTTTTTGGATGGAAGAGACTTTTCATCCAGTCGCTTGCTTTTTTTCTCTGGAGACCCTGTTCTATTTTTTCCAGACTGACTCTGCTTTATATCTTTCCTGATGACACCTGATTTTTCTTTCCCATCCTGGATCTGCTCAGCATTGTCACTAGCACGGCCCCCTGCTCGTCGAATCTCACCCTCTAATAATCTGGCGTCAGCATTTGGTTGGTCTTTGCTTCCTTCACTTTTTTGCTGCTTTCTTGGGCTAGAAGACCGTCCTCGGCCTCTCCTGCAATGATCTTGTCCAGAACCTTCTCTGGTGCTGACCTGACAACTCCTGTTCTCCCCTTTCCTGGGGCTGAGGGATCGCTCTCTGGGTCTTCTTTTGGGGTCATTTTTTAGAGGACCTGGAATCTTTTCCAGATGTTCCTCTGAATATCGATTGGCTGACTTTTTGGGACTAGCTGATCTACCTCTTCGTGTAACACCATTTTCTACTTTTAATAGATTTTTCTTCCCACTGTGCTCATGACTGTTGGGTGGATCCCTCTTATTCACATTTTTCTGGACTACACACTGATGCTTTATCTCAGACAGGTTTTCATTCAAAGTGCTTTTCTTTTCAGGCACAATGTCCTTCAATTCTTCTGCCTTTTCACATATCTGAACTCTCGTTAAAGATTCTTCAGTTACTGGTACATGAGACTCTTCAAATATGGAAGCAGAATGTGAAGATGGGGGAAATGGTGACTGTTCATCATAAATCACACTTGAAGCCAAAGGATTATTAATATCCCAATCACCTTAAAAAAAATTTAAAAAAAGCAGTATGAGTGGAACACTATTGAATTTTAGAACTATAATAAATAGAAACAATAAGTTCTTAAGTTTGATAGCCATTTGAATTGTACTAACTGCTTAAACAGCCTGAGAATGGATATTTTATAAATAAAGTTTATATATGTTTATGTATATATAGGCAGATGTGTATAGACATCTGTACTTTTACATAAAGGGTAGGCTGTTTACATACACAAAATAACAGTTTTTATTTTTCTAATTACTTATGTATATAATTAGTGAAATAAATGCATAATGTGTAAATTATTTATAAGTAGGAAAGCCCGATGTTAAACTTATTATAAGAAATAAAAAATAAAATTGGACCAAATTACCTGGTCCAAGAAGCTTACTAATTAAGCTATTACCAGTGGATATAGCTTAAGAATATGCCAAAACCACTAATTTAATAAATGAGACCAAACTGTGGTAACTAGAATGAGGTTCATGGGCATTTGTAAATAATTTTTTTGAGTTAAGCCATCAAATTTAATGTCAAAAGAAAACTGAAAAGTACAGAAGATAGGAGTAGATGTATTTAATAGCATCATTTTTAATTAAAAAGAAAAAAAAAAAAGAAGGAAGAGATTTACAAGACATGCAAATTTACCAAGTCTTTTTAAGGAAAGACCAAGAAAAGCCCTGAAAGCCTTAATGTTGCTCAGGTTTCACGTAGGAGCACAGACCGGAAGGAGCCAAACCTGAAGAAGGAAGAGAAAAAGCCTAGGACTATGTAAAAAAAAAAAAAAAAAATCACAGTGCAGTTAGCAAAGATGTCATGTATGATTTACAAGCAGGTGGTGGAAGATAATACAGTCAGAGAATCAGGCTGGAAGGGGACTGTAGGAGGTCATTTAACCCTCAAAACGGGGGACCGTGGCGGGGAGGGGGTACTAAGTGGATGTGATACTGCCTTTATTTCTAATCGTGCACTCAATTAAAAAAAAAATACTGATCTTCAAAAACATACAGTGAAAACAAGGAAGTTGAAGATGAGTACAGGAGTACAGACATGGTCCCAGGTCCAACTCCTTGTTTCCAGGCAGGGCTATAGCAACTTGTTTTTGAAAAGTGACTGGAAAAGCCTTAAGTTCTTATGCTACTTATTAAGAGAGAAAATTATCATAATGTAAGGAAGTAATTAACATTTGTTGGTAACATGTAATTAGCCAAGGAGGAGAGAAAACTGGGATGTTCTGAAGAAATTTTTTTTTTTAAATAATATTGTGTTTTAGGTGAAAGTTTACACAGCAAATTAAGTTCCCATTTAATAATTGTTATACAGATTTTTCCATGATATTGCCTACAGTTTTCACAATGTGTCAGCATTCTCATTATTTCCATTCTGTTTGTTCTGTTTCCATTGATCTAGCTTCCCTTCCCTTCCTTGCCTTCTCATCTTTGCTTTTGGATAAATGTTGACCATTTGGTCTCATATAGTTGAAGTTCTGAAGAGATTTAAAATGTTTTCATGGCATTTAGACTGTTTGCCTCTAATGCCCTTGTTTTTTACAGGCACATTTCTCTACAAAAGCAACGATATGTTTTCTTTTGAAATAAGCTTAAATATATTCTACTCCAACAAAAGACCTGCCTGAAGTTGCTTGTTTCCTAACACTATAATAACTATGCTATGCAACTAGCTTTAGATGGTCCTGCTGTCTACCTCTGAATTAGCTAGTAAAATACCTGTCCATTCCAAATCGATATTCCTTTGTTTTCTGCTGCTCCCCTTAACACACAACTTTTCAGCTATCAGTTGGCTACTTTACTTACCATGGTCAGGTATCAAGCCGGTTCCTGGCCTCAAAAGAAGAAGAACTTTATTTCCACCGGCCTGAATGAGCTCAATTGCTCGAGTATGTGTGATGCCTTGTGTAGGTTCCCCATTGATTTCAACAATCTGGTCACCAACCTAGACAGGGAACAACCAGTCATAGGAACAAATGAAACTCTATGCATCCTTCTCCAATTCTACTTCTGTCAACTCTAGGCCTGCTAAGTGACTCTCTTTCATTGGTAAAATATTTCATTTGTATGTGGTGCTATCATGGCTACAGTTGATGAGGAGTGGATAGATGGTAGCAATAAAAAGAGACAATGTGCAATTTTATTTACTCTATAAAAATCTTACACTGAAAAGTTTTATATGACTAGTCAGTCAGGATCTGGGCATCTTGAAGTCAAGATTCAAATTCTACATTCCACTGAAGGTTAGTGGTGGAAGAGGTGAAGTGAAGAGGTGAGGTCTCTACAACAATCCAGATGACACCATGGAGCTATATTTGAATGATCAACCCCATGAAGGGTACTTTCAAACTTGAGCTGAATCTTGGCTTTATTTCCCAAAACCTGGGCAGGTGGCTCCTCATTTTAGAAGCTTCTGCCCCTCCCGGCCAGGGAGAACTGTCCACTCCTTCCTTTGTGCTGCCACCATATCCTGTACGTACTTCTATTACGTGACCTGTGCAATGTTTTACTGCACATGACTAACATCTTGCAAACACTATAAACCTGCCTCAATAATTTCTGAAACAGGAAAACAAGAAGGATTTTGGGTAAAGACAATTCAGTGATCATAGTAAATGTTTACTTGAACATACTGCCACATATTAAATTTTATCGTAAGGGGAGTAGCAGGAAAAGTGAAGAATCTGTACAAGGTAACCTCCTCCATGTTAAACACATTGAAAACTTTTTATCTTTTTTTTTAAAACAAAGAGCAACAAAAACATCAAGATTAACTTCAACATCAATGGGCAGACCAGAAAAATCTTTAACAAGTTAGGGTTTATTAAAAGTATTATAATAACAAGGAGAGGAAGGATGAATGTCTAAATAAATTTGGAAAAGATGTCTGTTGACAAATGAACATGACTGAAGAGTTCTAAAGGCCTAAATGAGTTAATATTAACTAGTGTGAAAAGAAACTGTGAGGAGCTAGAATCATACGTAGTAGTGGAATGAGCAGAGCTGGATTAGCCAGACTACAGAATAGGGAATGTTGAAGATACTCCATCTTCCACCCCACCCCCCACTGCAATAAACAACCATAACAAATTTTACTAATAGATGATTACAATTCAAGAGACACTAACAGGTGTAGAAACAAAGAGCTAATTTGCTAATAACGAGTTTCAGAAGAAATTAAAAACAAACTGAATAGCATTGATGCCATAAGCAGGTAAATAATTAAAACTGTACTAAAATATAGTCTTGGAATGAAAAATGAAGGAGTTTTACTTTCAAGTATTAATCAAAGAAAGAGATTCCTAAAATATCTACATATATTCTTGTTGGTTCTGAACCTTTAAGGACTTCAAAGCCACCAAGAAGAGTGGAGAAAGGGCTTTAAAATCAGCCATATTAAGAATTAGTCAGTTCTTGTCTTCCAGATCCAGTGAAGTGCTTGGGGTGGGATAGGGAATCGTTGAAAAGCACAGAGTTATCACTATTACTTGGGCCTTGACCAAACTGACTTATTTAGGTTGAAACATACAATATGCTGATATTCAACTTTTTTGACCTATAGAAATGGCAATGTCATATAATTCAACTTAGTATTTTGAAGGAGACTTCAAACAAGGTGTAGAAATATGGAAGAGATTGAAAGAAGATGAAAGATATTCTTAAATATTAATACACTAAGAATGATATCATAGGATTTCCAATACTGCTGCAGACTTCCCTGCATAACAAAGGCCGAATGGATGAGGAAAAGAAAGGTAAGCCCAAGAAGCAAATCCCCTGTGCATCTCACGCCCTTGCCATCAGAGGAGGGTTCCAGTTTTTCATGGTTAGTAGTAAAAATTAATAGTACCAATAATGAAAAAATTTTATATTAGTTAAGATTATCTTCCAGTTTAATTTAAAAGGAAATAGAGTTTGGTGTCCTATAAAAACCACATAAACAAAAAGATAAAGAATAATGACAACAGATACTCATTTGAAGATGAAAGACAGTGCAAACTCTTAAGTTAAACATTAAATAAAAAGGGAGTGCATTTCCTCCTCAGGTATACTGAAGTCTTTTACAACATAATATTTATGAATGTATATTTAGTAAATATGTAAATGTAGGAATTCTATAGATCACATTCACAGCCACTACGATATAATTAGAAATAAAGTAAAAGGTGACCATCCCTTTCCCTAACTTAAGGAGTTAGCCTATCACCTCCAACATAAGGAAGTCCAAAACATAACAGTGAAGATGTTTTTTAAAAACAATGAAAGTGTACCTACAACATATCAAATCTGATCTTATGTTGCCAAAGTACTACTCAGAGGAAAATGTCTAGCTCTGAGGCAAGAGCCCAAACTCACATGCCTGTAGGGTCATGGCTAATAATATAATGCAGTTTGCATAACCAGAACTCACTCAAATTCAAAAGTTGGTAACATGGTACTGGGCAAACAAAGCATTTCTGCAAGCTGCCAGTTTGTAACCACAAACACTAATATTGTTTGATAGTCAGTGACCTGTGGGCCCACGGCATGAACAATGTGAAGCCTTTCTGGGAACAGGGGCCAGGAGGTCAGAGCCATGAGTCTGTGTCAGTTACAGCACAACCTCACGGATGCCTGAATAAGTCTGGAAACTATGATCTTGAAATGCACATTCTTCTACACATAAGCTCAGCTTCAGGATGGCTGAATGCATGGATTGATGACTTTTCTTTATGAAGATGGGTCCTGCTGTGTTCCTTGGAGCGGACGGGCATGAGAACATGTAAATAGGCCCATCCTATGAAGGATTGGGTGGGGGAGAATTAAGGAAATCAAGATAACATCAGACATATTAAGTGGATCTGAACAGAGACCACTATAGGGCCAGCTTCCTCCTATAGCTGAGGTGAGGGAAATAGGAAATTACCAGAAGCAGATTCAGCTAGAGGTTCAATTCTAGAGAACAAAATGGGGATGTGATGAGTAATTCTGAGGGGAATTTGAGGTTTCTGTGTTGTCCAGCAAGACGCACAGGGTTGGAGAGTGAACAGACGATACCTCCCAACCTTACTGACTTCAGCATCAGTCAAGAGAGCTGATTTGTCTAATGAAATGTCAGCAGAAGCGATATGTCACTTCTGAGCCTGAAGAGGCAGTAGTTTCATTATTGCTCTTTTCCCCGTGCCTGGAGACTGAGACAGGGGCTGCTCCTTTAGCCTACACCAAAAATGAAGAAAACATGGAGAAGAGATGAAGTCAACATGGACATGAGTGAGAAACAAAGGTTTGTTACTGTAAACCAGGTCATTGTTGCATAACTTAGTCCAAGCTAACTTACACAAGGCATTCTATAAAATTAAATATTTACTGATTAAAACTGTAAAAAACTAAGCATGGAGAATATACTAATATGAATATTTATTTAAAGCCAGTAACTGGTTTATACTCAATGATTTTAGTGTAAAATCATTTTCCTAAAAAATAAACAAACAAATTAGGGATCAGATTAGGTTGCCTCTGTATCACTCACTATTTACTAGAAATGATGTCTGTCATTATTTCAAAAGAAAAAGGAAAAATATGGAAAAGTCAAGTATAACTTTTGCAAAGGACCTGATGATTAATGGTAGTGATAGCAGTGACATCCTTCTAGATTTTCAAATATATTTCAAGGTGAGAAACAACTGAAGGGTACTGGCTTCAAAACAGAAAGACTGAACAATGGAATACTACTGAAGTTCCACAAAGCAATTCAAATATTTGGAAGAGCTTACTGAAAGCAATCCAGAAGTAACATAACCGAAGGGGACTCAGTCATTATTTAACAGAGAAAGGTTAGTGGGACAACTCTGCAGTGCAGGGCAGTGGTTAGGGAGCTGGGCTTCACATTCTGGTCCCACCTCTTCCTAGAGGAGTGGCCTCATTTTCCTCATCTGTTAAATGGGGACAATATTAGTGCCTACCTTATGGGGCTGTTGGGAGGATTTAATGAGATAAAACATGATTAGTATAAACAAAGTAAAAATAAATGTTAGTTCTTGCTTTATTTATTTGTTTTCTGGTTTGCCCAAAACCAGATTTAAAGTGAGTCACTATGAAGAAGATTTAACAGTAGCCTGCACCTCAGTCTATACAATGCAAAAATTTTAACTATGAAAAAAGTTTGTTGCATATTTATGAAAAAAGATGAGCGTCTCAGGAATAAGACAGATAGATTTGATATACAAAATAAAAAAGGGAAAAAACCTTTTAAAAAAAAGGAAATAAATAGAATGAGGAAAAGTAATAAACATAATCAATAAAAAACTTACTTTCCAGAATATATGTGAAACAAAAGCCAATACCCAGATTTCCCTTAATGAGTGATTAAAGAAGAATTTAGATGATAATTAGCACTAGATATACAATCCTGTCGATAAAGAAAATGAAAGCAAAAGTAGATAGCATTGGGAAAATGCTTTGAGAATATCTTGTAAAACATAACTGAGGTTATAATTAATTTTAATTATATTCTTTGGCCTAAATCCACTGTCCAAACCTGTATATATCTTATTCTCTTAGTACAACAAAAATAAATGGCAATAAAACTTGTAATTGAACAGATTTGCCACCAGGGGTCATTTTTTATTAACTTTAAATTGGGAGGAGGAAGAGGGACAGTGACTCTTAGATTTATGGGAGACAGGCCCTCAAAAGTGGAAGAAAGTTCTATACTGAGCTACACAAAACTAAAGATTAAAAAATGGCACCTTTGAGAGGAAAATGTAAACATTCTTTTAAATTACTTTAAAAAATTTAAATGTGATTAAGAATATAATGGGAAATGTATCTTTTAATAAAAATGAATAAAGGTTTCAGTTTTGTAGAAAAATCAAATTATGGGAACAGAAGAAAGAAGGGAGAAATGAAAGGGAAAGACAAATGTGAACAGGAGAACCAAAAGAAGAAAAGAGACAGGAAGAGGGATAGAGAAAAATTATGTTCCTTTGCAAAAGAAGGTCACTAGCTTTTTAGGCAGTCTTACATTTTTTAAAACAACATTCACTAAAAATGTATTAAGATTTTAAATTGATTTTTCTAACACAAATCTTGTATAACCTTACAGCCTGTTGATAAACTACCCAAGGAATCATCCAAACGGACACAGCCACAGCCTGCTGTAGTAAAACGTGGACTGGACTTCCAGAATGACAGACCTGACTCACAGCATGGCTGTCACAGGCTGACTGACCCTGGCAGGTGTCTTAGCCTCTCTGAGCATCAGTTTTAAATCTGTAAGTGAGGATAATGCCATCTACCTCACAGAGTTTTTGTGAGACTAAAAATAAGTAAAAACAAATTTTTCCTAGAAAAATACATGTTGCCTGGAAGATGTAAAACTCTTTAATATTTTCTAAATCTGTCCTATTTTAAAAATTTAACTATATCAGACACTATTCCCTAATATGAATCTTTTCCATTCAGCTGACTTTCTATGTCCTTGGCCTAGAAACCCTGTTTCTCTTCTCTGTCTCTCTAGATTTTAACCAGATTTAAGGGCCAGCTTAAGACTCAACAAATTTATAGATTCTCTCAATGGCTCTCAACGGCTTTCCATCTATGTTACAAGTTAACATTTTCTTGTTTTACTGAATTATAGTATTACATGGTTTCCTAATGACTTTATAAATCCCAAGACCTGTCTTTCCAATAATAATTTCTGGGAGCTAATCTAAAATATTTTTTTTAAAAAATAATTATCTCAGTACCTACAAGTTATCATCCATTTATTCTACTCTTTCAGCAAATATCTATGGAATATCTACTGTGAATGTTCAAAGCACTACATCAGGTGCTGAAGACATTAGAAAAATAGATACAGGACACAAAGTACAGTTGTTGACCTAACAGAAAAAGCAAGGGAGAAGAGAAGAGATGCAAGACAGGGGACAGGCAGAGAGGGATGCTCAAGTGGCTCCATGGTGCATGTGTGAACTAGACATTCCCGGCTCTGATCATTTGGGCAGTGGCCACTAGAGTAAGTAGTCATTAATAACACATTTTATTCAGCACCAATTATATGTGAAACTCCCATGATCCTTGCCAAGCCAAAAATTCTGGTAATTTAGTAGCCATAAAAATTACTCTTCTCTGAAAAGATGATTTATTATCTTTTAGAGCAGACCTGGGCAGAGCAGCTTGTTTGCTTTTGTTTTCAAACTTCAGAGTTTAGTTTTCAAATAAAAGTTGATTTAATCGCAGAATTCTAAAATTTCTATTCATTTGTAACGAATGACACATTTTTAGAAATATACTTTGTCTGCTTTAAGGCCTGTTTGCCTTTTCTTTGTTGAGATGATACATCTGAGGGTTATAATTGGAACTAACATTTATTTTATATTTACATACTCGTTTTTTATTTAATTGAACTTTTGTAACACTATGTACAATGGAAGATTAAAAAATTTTTTTAAATACCCAAACAAATTTAAAAGAAAGAAAAAGAACTAAGAAAACCAAGAATAAATATATGTCATCCCCTACAGTGTGTCAAATTCCTCTTATTAAACTTTAAGAAGTTTACTTGGCCAGAAAGAAAGAAAAAGAAATTAATTATTCAGTCCTACTGTGGTCAATGGAAGTTGCTGGGTGGTACAAATGCACTTGGCTGCTAACTGAAAGGCTGGAGGTTCAAGTGCACCCAGAGGTCCCTTGGAAGAAAGGCCTGGTGAACTACTTCTAAAAAAGCAGCCATTACAAGGTCATGGAAGCGCCATAGTCACATCCAAACTCCCTTACGGACTGAATTGCTGGGCTGAGGGCTATGGGGACCATGGTCTCAGGGAACATCTAGCTCAAATAACATAGTTTATAAAGAAAATGTTCTACATTCTACCTTGGTGAGTAGCGTCTGGGGTCTTAAAAGCCTGTGAGTGGCCATCTAAGATACTCCACTGGTCTCACCCCTTCAGAAGCAAGAGAAAACGAAGAAAACTAAAAATACAAGGAAAAGATTAGTCCAAAGGACTAACAGACCACAACTATTATGGCCTCCACCAGACTGAGTCCAGTACAACTAGATGGTGCCTGGCTACCACCATTGACTGCTCTGACAGGGATCACAACAGACGGTCCCGGACAGTGCAGGAAAAAATGTAGAACAAAATTCTAACTAAAAAAAAAAAAAAAACCAGAGTGACTGGCCTGACAGAGACTGGAGAAACCTCGAGAGTATGGCCCCCGGACACCCTTTTGGCCCAGTAATGAGGTCACTCCAGAGGCTCACCTTTTAGCCAAAGATTAGACAGACCCATAGGACAAAACGAGACTAAAGGGGCACACCAGCCCAGGGGCAAGGACTAGAAGGCAGGAGGGGACAGGAAAGCTTTAATAGGGAACCCAAGGTGGAGAAGGGAGAGTTTTGACATGTCGTAGGGTTGTTAACCAGTGTCATAAAACAATATGTGTACGTTTAACGAGAAACTAGTTTGTTCTGTAAACCTTCATCTAAAGTACAATAAAAAAAATTAAAATCAGTTTGAAAAAAAAAAGCAGCCATTAGAAACTCTATGGAACACAGTTCTATTATGACACACATGGGATTGCTCTGAGCTGGAATCAACTGGATGGCAACTGGTTTGGTACTCTGATCCATGTATTTTATGTATTGTATCTGAATTCTACAGATGAGGAAATTGAGGTTCAGAGAAGTAATCCAGTGGTACACAGCTACAAGGTGGCAAGCTAGAACTTGAGCCTTTTTCTGTTTTATTTCCAAACCCATGTTCTTTCCACTCTATTAAATTATCTCCATGAGAGTGTGTATTGAGGCTAGATGGAGCAGCACTTGATTAGCTGTACTAACGGCACTTGGCCATCAGTCCCTCTCCTTATCATAAATGCTCTCCAGCTCCGGTTCTGTGACTCTACAACCCCTCTGCTCGTCCCTCTCCCCCAAGTTTTCTCTACCTCCTCTGGACAGCTAATTACAGGCCTTACCCAGAGTTCTGCTGTTGCCCCATTACTCCCTAAATTTCTCTAATTTTAATGATCTTACCCACCACAAAGGCTTCAATCATCATCTGGGTAATGTCACAATCTGGGTTGCTACCACTAGTTCTAATCACCTGCTAAACATTTAAACCTGGTCCACTAGCTGGTAGCTTCACCTCAACAAGACTAAAACTTACTATATCATCAATCTTGGCCAAATCGCTTCTTCCGTTGGCCTCCTTAACACTTTTTCATAGTATAGGCAGGGGCAAAGCCTCTGAGTCATCCTTCACTCCTCCTTTCTCTTCATCCCCCATTCATTTAACAAATATTTGTCAGTCATCTAGATAGGCCTTTTCTTAACAGCTGATCTCGTATGCTGGCGGGTTTGAAACACTGATCTTCTGGTTAGTAGTAGCTGAGTGCCTAACCACTTGCCACCATGGCTCCTTTGCCACTGCCCAGGACCTGCCTAATGGGGCCCACCCTACTTGTATATTCTCCTTTTCCTCTGCTCCTCGATGTGTTTCCTAAATAAACTCTAGGCAAACTGACCAGCCTCAGTTACCTATATATGATTTATGCTTCTTTCGTTTTACTTCTTTGCTTGTTTCTTCAGCCTGGAATGTCTTCTCTCCTCAATTTCTCTCTGTTGAAATCTTATCCACCTCCCAATGTCACCTATTCTGTGTAATCTTCTCTGATTGCCCCCTTTGAACTTCGACACATGTCTGGTCATATTGAGGAAGGACGGTATCTTTTTTTTAAGATTAAAATATATTTTATTAATCCATTTTCTCACAAATGTTGCCTATGCAAGTGAAAATTGCTTTTTCTTACCGACCAAAGTCAAGAAGGCGAGCGTGGCATAACTGCAATACCGTATGGCCTTTCAGGTTCTAGTGATGGAAAAGCCTGCTGCTTAGGTTCAGGTTTCTGCATTCCCTTGAACCAACTACTTTCAAAAGCTCTCAGTCTGAAGCCATAACCAAAGGTTGCAGACAGAAGCTGACTCACATGAATTCTGCCATCTTTGATGGCAGGACCATCCTCAGCAAGACGCAGGATGAACAGCCCCATGTTGTACTCCTTTCCCCCTCGGAGGCTGAACCCAAAGCCCCGGGGCCCCCTCTCCAGCTCCACTGGGTAACAGCCAAGGCTCTAGAGAGAAAAATGTGAAAGAAAAACAAGTTTTCACGGATTGCTTTACTTACATTTTGAAAAAAGACTACTTTTATAACCGGAAAAATGACTTAATACTCTTGATATGCATTTCTACGCAGGTCTGTATCATAAGGAAGGAATTTAAGTTTTGGCTGAAGGGCTACTTAATTTTTAAAGATGCAGCCTAAATTAATCGGCAGACTACATGTCTTCTCTACTAGTTGGTCAATGTACAATGGAACAACCAGAAAAACAGGATTTTGGAAAGTGCTTCCCTTAAGTAGGTTGTGACTAATTTTCCTGAGGGGGAAAAAAAGATCAAAACTCTACCTTGATTAGCTAAAACACTGCTATTTATGTCTAAATACTTAACCACGGGTTCAAATTTCTCCAACTGTAGGGTAAACTTTTACTCTTCACATCCTCTCACAGAAGCTAATGGAATGCCGAACACATAGTCAGGTTCTCAAAAATTATTAATTTTGCAAACACATTTATCTGAACTGCATCAGCAATAAATTTTCACCAGTGTCAGTAATTTAGTAATTCAAAATATCAGTCCACACCTGGGGCGGGGGGGCAGGGGGCGGGGCGGGGGTTGTTTACCTGACTGTGCCGACTGCCTACAACTGAAATCATTGCCGTGTCAGGCTGCGCAAGGTGCTTATGGTCAGACCACGAGTGTCTGTAAGTGGAGACATCTTTTCCAATTTCACCTTCTAGGGCACTTCTACAAGAGAGAGAAATCAAGTCACTCTCTACACTGAAAAAAATGAAAAAGAGTCTAAAATAAACGCAGATTGATCTCTGTTTTACTTTAAAAGCCAAACCTCACCATTCCCCATCTGACCAACCGCTAAAAAGAAGAGATCTAGAACCAGAGAGACGCCAGGCAGAAACCTGCTCATTAACTCCAGCACAGCCTCAAGTCTGTCGACATCTCCATGTTCGTTGTTTTTAAAGGGCGTTGGAATGCAGTTTACATCAAGGGAAATTGTATACTCAAGTAACGGAACCAGAGGGCAGATAAGTTGACCTTGCTACAGAGAAAAATGGCTCTCCTATAGAACCAATGCCTGGGAAAATACTGAATTTCAAGAAATCTAGTTTTTGTTTCATGGCTAATATTTTCAACAAGAGGAAAGAGGTATGTACACACAGCTATGCCTCCTCACGTAGTCTGAGGGACAGCTACCTATGAAGGTTTGGGGCTTCACTGCCGAAGGTATGCGGACCAAGAGTGGCAGCGCCAGATGCTACTGTCACTTCTTTCTAATCCCCACTTGTCAGGCATGATTGGATAATTATATTGTGCCCAAGGGTGGGGGCTGGGAAGAGGGACAAAGGCCTTGGGGGAGGGAGACAGATAGGGAAGGTATCTGAAGGTAGAATATGCAAGAACTATCATTCTGACCTCACCAGCTGGCTTCTGTATAATTGCAGGGGAATGGGGGTGGGTGGGTAATGGAGGGTGGGGAGAAAAGGAGACACAGAAAACAAAACCTGAGAAGAACAGCCCCACCTGTCCCCAGGTATGTGGTTGGTCTGTGACTGTCCCATGGGCCTGTGCTGCAGGGCTGGGCTTTGCCTGGCTGAGTTTGTTCCTGATGGTGGACCATGATGCTCTGTGCAAACGAGAAACAAAAGAAAAAGAATTTGTATGTAAAAATGTGAAGGACAAGTAGATCCACAGACATGAGACAGTAACAAATGGTCACTGCTTTGCCAACTTAGCAACCTTAGCATGAACAACACTGTTGTCAGTTGTCTGGAATTAGCACATTAACATCTTTTCCCTGTGGCTTTTGACTAATGTTTACGCTTCAAGAGAATAGGAGTCAGGTTCCCACTGCACACACTTCCCCTCTTTCATGTTTGTTTTGGTCATCTGTACAACATGAAAATCAGAAATGAACATGCTCAGTACAGTTTACCTAGACGACAGCTCCAGGAACTATCTTGTAGCCTATTCTGTGGGTTTCCAGAGCACATTCCCCATACCACTCCACATGACAAAGATAGGTCTCAGGAATGCTGGAACACAGAGGTGAACTACACACATCTTTGAAACTGCATCTTTGATAGAGGAGTAGTTATTTTGTCTGACATTGATTACCAAAGACAAACATGAAATCGTCCTGAGTGGTGACAGATATTTATAAAATTTTATTGCTTCTATATCCTAAAAATACAAACACAGGTTTAAAAAAATAAATCAGCATATGTTTCTGTATCATTCCCAACAGTTCTGGGTCTCCTGCTGTTCTTCGAAGGCAGATTTCATAGCTAAGCACAGCAACGGCCTGCATGTATATCTAGATAGCAAGTCAAGGGAGGTAAGAGTTAAAAGAGATACTTAAGGCTATTGGAATTCATATTTTTAAAGGTGAAACTTTTGAATACTTTACCCTGTCCAAAACTCAAAGCGTGGGATATTTAAAATATCAAAGAAAGGGGGAATAATTTAGTGTTTAAGACCATCATTTACTAGCTGTGTGTTCTTGAGAAAATTACTTAAATTCTCTGTGCGTCTAATCTTATCATCTATAAAATGGGAATTATAGCTATCTCATGGGGTTATTATGAGCATTAAATGAGTTTAGAAATGTATATGCTTAGAACAGCGCCTAGCACACAGTATGCACTGTATCAATTTTACTATTATAATTATTATCATTATCACTGTCATCATCATCATCAAAATGATATCTCCTATTTGGGGCTGCATTTCTTTTCATTTCTGTAATCTGAAATATTTACCTTACTTAGCAAAAATGTTCAAGGTAGAAGTCAGAACAACACGTGGAAACTGATGTAAGTAGAGTCTTAGAATATAATGGAGATGGAGAAAGACTGTCAAAGAAGACGCAAGAGAGATGAAAGTTTAAGAAGCAATTTCTATCGAGGAAGCTCAGCTACAGGCTTTACTACATGCATCTCTATTTTACGGCTTGGATTAAGTTGTTCTTCAAAGTTCTGTGGGACTAAAAACGGAAATAACTTCTTATTTTCATTTAAGAATTTCTTGTAACTAGAGGCTAGAGAGGATCCTGAAAACACAGGCAAGAGGGTAAAAAGCAACAGGAGGAGAGAGTAATGGTAGATGGTGCAGCCATGGTGGCCCCAGAGCACTTCTAATGCTCTGATTCTGGATGCTGGGCTTGTGTGTCTACATGGATTTAAACAATGTGTACCAGACCGAGAGATGTAGGACCAACCTTTGCAGAACTTTACCAGAGGGTTGTGTTTCCTCTTTAAAGTCAAGTGTTTGGGGAAGGGGGAGAAGGGGTAGCGGATGAACTTTTATTTGTTTATTTTTGGTGATCTGGAAATATGTTGCTATTATAAATTTTCTTTTCCTAATTAGCTTAACAAATTTCTTACCTTGGCCTCCTAACTGGTCTCCTTGCCACCAACCTCCTTCCTTCTGCTTCCAGAATTCAAGTTCTAACATATAGATTGAAACATGCTGCTGCCCAGGTTAAAAATCTATAGTACCACTGTTGCTCACAGGATACCATCCAAATTTCTCACCTGGGCACTCTTGCCTCCCGTCCAAAATGTTGCTTCCTCTGTGAAATCTTACCTAGCTCCTTAAGCACCCTGGGATCACAATGCTGTCACGGTTTATCACAGTGTCAGACCTAGCTGAATACCTGTCTCTCCTGCTAGACTGTGAACTTGATTACAGAATCACACACCATTTATCTTTATATTCTCTGTACCCACTGGAAATTCTCACAAGTCCTTCCACCTTTGTTTACTCGGTATGTCAATTTCAAGTTACCTGTCTCCAAACCAGTGCCTATGGAGCTGAATTTTCTTCTGTCATTGTAAACTCATGGCTACTATTACGGGAATGGAAACTGATGGGAAAAACTAGCATCTAGCAAGAAGATAACTGGGAGATGCTTGTATCTTTGAATGTGTCCAATTTAGATAATATTTTGGCTTTATTAGCTTGGCTAGAGTAATGGGTGTACAATATGAGAGCAGGACAGTACAAATAAGCTGATCAATTTCAAGTTCTCCTCTACTTTCTCCTAACGACAAGGGGTGTCACTGCTAGGCAAAATGCATCACAAATTGGTGCTTACTTTTTTAGTTCTATGTTTTTTTGTTGTCTCCTTAAGGTTAAATAACACTTTCTATCATTTTTTTTTTTAATTTTTAGTCTTCCGACCCATGCTACATGGCTTTTCCAATCTATTTCCATGTTATAACCTATAATACTTCTCAAACTTAAATATTTACTCTATGATATCAACCAAGCCTATGTTCTCTCTGAATTTTATTTGAAAGTTCTCCAAATAGTAAAATAATAGGTTAAGTATACCTTTCCTCAATGAGAATTAATTTTTTTTTCTTGAGTTTCTGTTTGTAAGTACTTAACAGAAAGCTTATTATCAGAAGACAAAAACAAAATCCCAACAGTTAAACTACAGTAACAAACATTATAATTTTTTTTAACTGCCAAATCCTTTATTTTTTTTTTTTTTTATTGTACTTCAGATGAAGGTTTACAGAACAAATAGTTTCTCATTGAACAGTTAGTACACATATCGTTTTACAACAATGGTTAACAACTCCACGACATGTCAACATTGTCCCTTCTCAACCTTGGGTTCCCTATCACCAGCTTTCCTGTCCCCCCCTGCCTTCTAGTCCTTGTCCCTGGACTGTTGTGCCCCATTAGTCTCGTTTGTTTCATGGGGCTGTCTAATCTTTGGCTGAAGGGTGAATCTCGGGAGTGACTTCATTATTGAGCTAAAAGGGTGTCCAGGGGCCATACTCTTGGGGTTTCTCCCGTCTCTGTCAGGCCAGTAAGTCTGGTCTTTTTTTGTGAGTTAGAATTTTGTTCTACATTTTTCTCCAGTTCTGTCCGGGACCCTCTGTTGTGATCCCAGTCAGAGAAGTTAGTGATGGTAGCCGGGCACCATCTACCGGGCTCAGTCTGGTAGAGGCCGTGGTAGTTGTGGTCCATTAGTCCTTTGGACTAGTCTTTCCCTTGTATCTTGTTTTCTTCATTCTCCCTTGCTGCCGAAGGGGTGAGACCAGTGGAGTATCTTAGTTGGCTGCTCACAGGCCTTTAAGACCCCATACCTACTCACCAAGGTAGAATGTAGAACATTTTCTTTATAAACTGTGTTATGCCAATTGAGCTAGATGTTCCCCGAGACTATGGTCCCCACAGCCCTCCGCCCAGCAATTCAGTCCCTCAGGGAGACAAATATTACAATTTATTGGGAATCATCTTTACCAAGAATAATTAAGAAGCCTATGAAAGAACTCTTAAAACTCTATTAAAGGACATAAAAGTTGATCTGAACATTTGGAGAGACATTCCATCCTCTTCAGTGGGATGACTACTATTTAAAGATATAAATTCTTCCAAAGTTAAAATATACATTTAACATACCCTCCAATGTTTCGTTCTGTTATACATAGGGTCGCTATGAGATGGCGCTGACTTGACAGCACCTAACAATATACCCTTCAAAAATTTCCAGTTGGATTTTTGAGGAGCTTAATAATTTGCTCTAAAATTTTATATAGAAAAGGTCCATGAATATTTAGTTGATTTAAAAAGAGAGAACTTGCCCTAACAGATATTAAGACATATCACATTGACATTTAAATATATATATATTTAATGCTCTCTCTCCCTATATATATATATAGCATTAGCCTAAGAACAAATCAACCAAGAGAACAGAATAGAGATCTTGGAGGCTCATGTATAAAGAAGAAGTGAATATACACAAGGCACTGGGGAAAAGTAGTGCTGTTTAATAGCTAGTTTTGGGACAACTGGCTCACTATAGGAATAAAAAATTAAAACTGAATCCCTACCTAAAACCATATACAAAGGTAGGCTCGTGATGGATTAAAGACCTAACTGCAAAAGGAAAAATTTTGAATCTAGTAGAAGATTTAATGTAAGAGAAAATCTCTGTGACATGGGATAAAGGCTGACGTATCTTAAATAAAACCCCAAAAACAAAGACCATAAGGTAAAAATTAACTAATCTGATCACATTTTAAATATGAGTTTCTGTATAATGAAGGGCACCATGGTCACAGTTAACACAGATGACAGGAAAAGTCATTTGAATTTTCTAAAATTAATGTAAGACTGTTGTTGCATGACGTTGAGTTGATTCTGACTCAGTGTGACCCTATAGGATAGAGCAGAACTGCCCCATAGGGTTTCCAAAGAGTGGCTGGTAGATTTGAACTGCCGATCTTTTGGTTAGCAGCCTGAGCTCTTAACCACTTTGCCACCAAGGATCCACCAATATAAGACTAATGCCTATATAATTTACAAGGAATCCCTAAAAATCAACAAGAAAAAGACAGAAATCCCTCAAAAATGAGGAAAGGATATGAACAGTCAATTTATAAGAAAAAGAAGCAAGCACATGAAGAGATGCTCAAATTAACAGGTAATCAGAGAAATGCAAATTAAATAACCATGAGATCATGCTTTCCATGTTTTAAACTAGCAAATTTGAAAGCTGGATAATGACAAGTATTGGCAAGGACAAAAAGTTATAGGAACCCTTGATGTTTTGCTGGCGGGAGAGTAGATGGATGTATCAATTACGAAGGACATCTGACAGTA